ATCATTTTCAACCCCCTTTTTGGCATCTGCATTTGGTAGCAGGCCAAATTGACAAAGACCATGCAGAATAATGTATTTTAATAATTCCACAGCAGAGAAAACTATGTAGTCTCTGTAGATCTAGGGGAAAAAAAAATACTGGTACTGATATCGGTTATTGGCCAAATGAGTTTTAACATATCGGCATATCGTTTATCGCCACAGTGGACTAACTCACAGGAAGACTTGGCAGTTGTTTTTACACTGGACTCCCTTCCTGATAACCACATTCCATTGAGCTACCACAGCCCTCCGTGTGGAGCACAGATGTCGACTGGCGCCTGTGGAAGGAGCTGGTGGGGTTAAGTGTCTTGCTCAAGGGCCCAGAATGAGGCAAACAAGGGTGGAGGCAGGTGTGAATGTTTCACCTTTCCCACCCACATTTTGATGTAGATCTGGGGGGTTGAACCAGCAACCTTCTGATCACAGGACCACCTTCCGGTAAACTATAGTTGTGGTTGTAGGTAACAACATGTGGAAAAGTACGAGCAATAGGTCCTTCCAGAGGTCACCTGTAGGGCACTGATCTGCAGCACAACTCATCTGTGAACTTTGACCTCCATACTGGTTCTGTGTGCACTACTGCTAAATCAGTCCAGACAACACTGAGTTCAAGTTCAGAGAAAAACAGAGGCTGTGAAACACCGAGACCTTAGGTAATGTCAAGTAACGACACTTACTATCTCCACACAGACCAGGGCTCCAGAGTACGTCCTCAGCACGTCCAGACCCAAAGGTAAAGAAATGCTCGGCGCTGGGAAGGAGGTGGCGGCTGGGTCCGCTGCTGGTTCCGACATCTCTGCGGCTGTCTCCCCTCCTCTTCCTCACAAACACTCCGCCAAACAAAAGGAGCTGGAGGGGGAGAAATTCCTCCGGAGTCATGGATCTCCCCCCCGAACAGGTTGGACAGGTGCAGAGCCACGCCTTGAACACCGGTGAGGCGTTCAATGACGTGTCGGAAACTTCATCTCTTCTTCATAAGTCCATAACAACAGAACAAACCTTTAGCTTGATTATGTTTTTATTGAAAGTGAGTAATTTCAGTAGGTTTTTACAATCAAGATGACCCCTTTTGATAATTAACAAATATAATATGTTTTTAAATATTGGCACTGAAGTCTGTAGATTTTGCCAAAATTATTATTACGGAAATAAATCATGTAACAATAGTTTCACTATATTTTTTGTTTGTTTCCATGCGTTTTTTTCTTCCAATCTAACTTCTGCATACTTTGAGCTATTTTAGCCATAAAACATTCAGATCATTCAAGAGACGAGTGCCATGACTTTTGTTTTTGTAATTTTTGTAACTTTCATACTATTTAAATTATTTACATTTACAGTATTTTTCACTGAATAAGTTGCACCTTTTAGCATAAATTAGCATGCCCCGCGACTTATACAGCAAAGAGACTTATTTATGCTTTGCTTCCATATTTATAACCCCATTTTTGGCTGAGATCTGACAATTTCATTCATTCTGACATGGAAAATATTGAATACTATCATTTCCATTTGACTGTATGGCAAGCCAAGTGTCTCATTAATAGGTAAAGTGGCTATGAATGAGACACTTGGCTTGCCGTACTTGGCCACCTTTGTCTCTCTCTGTAATTAACTATAATTATAATAAAGGTGTATCTCAGTTGATCTTTTCCTTAATAAATGCACTATAACGGTCAAATCGGCTGCATTTCAAAAGCCGATTCGTGGCTGCGGGGGCACGCAGAGGGACGACTCGCTGTGCATTTCTTTGAAATTGAACAAGATAACCACCTAAAAACAATTATTTGTTTGCTCACAATTATAGTAAAGGTGTCTCAGTTGAACTTTTCCTTAATTTACTTAACGGTCAAATCAGCTGCATTTCACCTGGGCGGCGCGGTGAAACACACCTTTGCTATAATTTCGAGCAGACCCAATAATTGTTTTAAGTGTTAATGTTGTTAAATTCTTGATAAAGTCCTCCTCGTGCACGTTTCCGCGGCCGCCATTTGGCAGCCAGTCAATTTCTGGCACAACACCGGCCCATGTTTCCAGGTGGTCAGTGGTGACGCTCAATAGATTAGACTTATACAACGAAGTAACATATTTATGTTTGTTTTTCCACTTTATTAGACCTTTTTGGACTGATGCGACTTATACGGCGGAAAATATGTTTTTTACTTTTTTCAACAGAAATACATTGCTTTAAAAACATTATCTTTAAAATTTGCTGCAGTATACTTGCTCTGTCTGTTTTAGGCTACATTTAGCTTTTTGCTGCTCTTCTCTTCCTTTAGCTTTTAGCAAAGCTTTTTGCTATTCTTCTACAACTTTTAGGTTTAGCAACAGTTCTGTTATTTTAAGCTTTTAGATAGCTAACAGTTTTATAGCAACTACAGTTTTCAGTGACATGTTTGCTAGTTTTATTTTTTTGTTATCCCTTTGTTGCTTTTAGTTAGCCTTTTGCTAATTTTAGCTATGTTTTTGTCTTGTTTATCTATGTTTTGTCTACTTCCTTTTGCTGCATGTTGTTTCTTGTAAGCTTTTCATTAGTTTACGCTTCCAGCTACTATTTTGCTACTTTTAAATTGTAGCTAGTCTTGTAGCTTTCAGCCAGCACTTTGCGTCTTTTAGCTATTCTAGTTTTTTATTTGATTTCTACTGGTTTTTAATTAATATTCTGCTTATTTTGTCTTTGAAAACAAAGTTTAGTTTCTTTAGTAAATTTCAGCACTCAGCATTCACACTGAATTTTGGAGTAAAAGTAGTTTCTCTATTTCGGCTTTAAATTATGAGTTAAATAGTACTTTGTACAAAGTAGATTAAATGTATTTTCTAGTAGACGGGGCACAGACAAGAGCAGCTGGACAAAAGTTTTGTCATATTTGATTCTGTTGTAGAAAATAAAAACAGCTATATTTGACTCTCTGATGTTTTTATTTTATACAGCTAACACAACGGAGATGTCTCTGATTCAGGTTGTTGCACTCTGTCAAAGCTTACTGCACGGTGCTCATTTGTCCAACACCAAGTGAAGGCAGCATTTCTGACTGTTTCAACACTGACTCCTTTGTGTTTTACAGCTCCTGTGGAATGATGGAGTGGGTGGTCAAATCAGACTCGTTTCAGAAATTAAACGTAATTAAATTAAACAGCAGCTGAGAAACAAGACACGACACAAGTAAAACTAGTTTCCTGTTTGAGAAGCAGCTGAAAATAAAACAAAAATCAGTTCTGTAACACAAAGTGCTGGGTGATATTTTGGAAGAACACTTTTTAAACAGAGTTTGAAACAAGGAGCAGAAAGGTTAAGTGCTTACAACAGTCAAGAACAGCAGTTTCATACGGTAAGCCAAAGTTAATGATTAGCTCAGATTCTGGTTATGTGAGTCAATGTTGATTTAACCTCTCAGAGGGCCCGGTTCATACGAGAGCGGCATGCAGGCAAGATGACCTGTATTTTATCACACAATCGTAGGTGAGCTATGAATGGAAATGGTGACTTATTTTGTAGTGATTGTAAGCTTATATTGAAAAACTGCAATGTTTTCTACTTGCCCATTGATTTTATTGCACAATATGTTATGAGATTAAAGTTTATTTAAGATGGCAAATTCTACTTTGGGAGGTCTGTTCAGGCTGGACTGACAAACTAATAAAAGTCACTTTTAATACAAAATATGAAAAACGTGGAAGATATATTTGGGAAAACAAAACAGATTGAATGAAATGCAGTGGGGTAAAATAATATTTTGATCCTTGACTGATAGTGTCGTGTTAGGTTTTTTTTTCAATATTTTACATTATATTTTTGTGTTAGTTTGCATTAGATTTTAACATTATTTTACGTTATGTTTTTGTGTTGATTTGTGGTCAGTTTTGTATTTTTTTCACAATATATTTTTGCGTAATGACACATCAGGTTTTAGTTCTTTTGGGGGATTGATGTTACATATTGAGGCATTAGGATTTAGCTTTTTTCTGCTCAAGGGTTTAGCTTTTTTTTTTTTTTGTGCTAGGTTTTTGGCTTTAGGTGTTGTTATGACGCATTAGGTTATTGCTTTTTGTCACATCAGTTGGATATTTAGAAATACTATGGAACACCACAACGGTTCAAGATATCAAAAAGCTGAATCGGTCGGTGATCGCTGAACGTCCTGTGAGTTGTTTAAAAGTTGATTGGACTTTCTAGGTGGACGTTTGCTGAAGTTGTATTTTATTGAAAACTTTCTTGTGTTTCCTGAGTGAATCAAGAGGCATTTTTTTTTTTTTTACTAGTTTTTATTTTCATTTGACTAAATGGTAAAGCACTTTGGTCAACTTTTGTTGTTTTTATGTGCTTTATAAATAAATTGACACTGACATTGAAATAGTTAGAGTGCAAAAAGCAGTAAGGATTTCACAGAATGTATTTTCAATAAGAAAAAAGTTGCTGAAAAAGCTGAATATTTCAAAAAGTTTAAAATTTATCAGTACCGAGGCTCCAGAATGAGCTGAATGTTTTCTTACCTAAACTGCAGAAATAGCTTAAAAACTGTCACAATATAAACATAAACAGGAATAAATAAAAACAATAAAACAATAGTGTTCACACAACTAGAGAAACGGCATTTACTGGAAAATGCAGTGTGAATGATTTTGCTGAACGCTTCTTAAAAAGCTAGTTTACTTGACAAACATCAATAGCTAATGATGTGAAAGATGAAGCTGCAAGAAGCACAAAAAGAAAAACAAATGCTAACATGCTAGCTAACAGCCATCCATCCATCCATCCATCCATCCATCCATCCATCCATCCATCCACCATCCATCCTTTTCCACTTGTTCTGAAGTCGGGTCGCAGGAGCAGCAGCTTGAGCAGGGAGGCCCAGACCTCTCTTTCCACATCCACCTCTTCCAGCTCTTCTGGGAGGACTCCAAGGCGTTCCCAGGCCAACCGAGAGACATAGTCTCTCCAGCGTGTCCTGGGTCTTCCCTGGGGTCTCCTTCCAGTTGGACATGCCTGAAGCACCTCCCTATGGAAGCGCCCAGGGAGCATCCTGACCAGATGCCTGAACCACCTCAACTGGCTCCTCTCAATGTGGAGGAGCAGTGGTTCTACTCCAAGTCTCTCCTAGATAACTGAACTTCTCACCCTGTCTCTAAGGGAGAGTCCAGCTACCCTGTGGAGGAAACTCATTTCAACCACCTGTATCCACGATCTTGTTATTTTAGTCACTACCCAGAGCTCATGACAATAGGGGAGGGTAGGAACGTAGGCCGACCAGTAAACAAAGAGCTTTGCCTTACAGCTCAGCTCCCTCTTCACCACAACGGACCGGCACAGAGTCTGCAATACTGCAGACGCTGCACCAATCCGTCTGTCAATCTCACGCTCCATTCTTCCCTCACTCATGAACAAAACCTCGAGATACTTGAACTCCTCCACTTGAGGCTAATAGACAGAATTAGTGAAATGTAAAACAAGTTGGCTTAGAGGCAGAAGGTCTGAAATGCTAACAAAAAGCAGGTCAACAAGAGCTAAAAGTAGCAAAACACCACAGAACAATGTTACAATAAAATGCTATGAATCATTTGTGCCACTCAAATAAACTGTTTTTGGCCCAAAACGAGACAGACGGGCACATCTCATTCCCTTTTTGGTCCTTTTTATTGTCCTGTTAAAGATTATATGGCAGCACGATGGCTCAGTGGTTAGCACTGTTGCCTCACAGCAAGAAGGTCCTGATTCAATCCCCGGTTGGACCTGGGGTCTTTCTGGGTGGAATTTGCATGTTCTTCTCGTGCTTGTGTGGGTTTTCTTCAGGTACTCCAGTTTCCTCCCACAGTATAAAAACATGCATGTTAGTCTGCCCTCAGGCCCAGACCTCCCTTACACAAGAGATCTGTGATCTCAGTGGGATTTGTCTGGTTAAATAAAGGTTAATAAAAATAATCAATAAAATAATTAGTCAGGTGAATGTTAAAAAATGTGGATCTAACGGCTTCTCGTCATAACTTTGACAGGAAGGGGCACAGACAAAATTAGATTTTGTTTTCAGTAATCCTGGATTGGAGTATCCAGGATTACTGGAAACAAAATCACATTTTATTTCCAGTAATCCTGGATACTTAAAGACAAAATAAAAAAATAAAAAAACTTGTATACAAATCTTCCACATCTATGTCAGTTTATTAGTACTTTTGTCACGATGACTATTATTATTATGCACCCTTCTTGCAGGTGTTGCTGCAGATTGTCCTGTCACTGCAAACAAATAAACAGTTAAAGGAATGTGTGTCTGGACCCCTGGTGTTCTCTGTGCATGAAACCTGCTTACTCCTGGGACAGCCTAAATATCTTGCTGTGTCTTCAGGGCTCAGCTGAGGCATGACTCCGTTGCTCCAGCCAGCAGGGATCTGGACCTGGTGCTGTGTTGCACCATCTAGGTTCGACCTCAGTGGTGCACTGTGCACGCTCCTCCTCTCGTTCCTCATATCAAACAAACGTCAGATTGCTCACTCCATCATCAAGTCCTCACTCTGACCCAGACTGTGGTTTCCTCCCCCGTCTCTTGCTGCTGCCCTTTTGTCTTTGACTCCACAGCTCCAACTTCCATTTCAAACAGAAGCTGTAGCTTCACTTTCAAAAACTGCCTCGTTGTGTTAAATAAAACACAAATGTTGCAACATGAACTCAGGAAGCTTTTTAACTACTGGAAACTGTAGTTGTACGTGAAGTTACTCCTCCCTGTGGAAGAGCTGTGTAGCTTGTTGGACATAAACAAATGTAATGATTTGTATGCACTTACCAGCACCAGATATCAAATGTCTGCCAGACATACTTCTGGACTTCATATCAGATTTTTATTAGCACTGAATGTAAAACGACCTGAAAAACAAGTTTTAAACTCACAGACTAATAACCCTTTCTCCGTCTTTCCACAAAAAAGAAACTGTCCAGATGATCTGATTGACCATTATTAGATTTTGTACCTGGATGATTGCGCATGAACTTTGATGTCTTGAACCACTTTGACTGTGGCGTCTGCCTGGAAGGAGTCGACGGGGGACAGGACATTCCCCAGAAACCATCTTATCACCAGCAAACTGGTTGGTCCACTAAAGGAGTGTACTGCTTAATGGGGAAAACAGTTTACTTGGGACTCCTCAGACTGATGAAGTCCTCCGGATAGAGGGCGAAACGTCTTTCCACAAAAAAACTAAAAACTGTCCAGATGACCTGACTGACCATTATTAAACCTTTTCTCCTGATTCCACTTTCTTTCCAGTTATCTCTGTCCGTGCAAACAACTGATCTGAAAGTCTTCATGAAAAGCTTTGTAGCCGACGGTTGAATAAGATTTGAACACAACCATTGATGTTTTATCACGTGGTTATCGCTGACATTTAGTGAACATGTTGCATTTTATATTATTTGTGAACAGTTGCCATATCTGACAACCCTCTGTCGCATGACTGGGTTCCTTCCATCATTTCACACACAAGAAGAGAATGAGGGCTGTGCAGAGGTACGAGCAGCTCGGCAGTCTGCAGAAGAGGAGGATGGAGTGGACGCTAATGTTGAGTCAGATGTGGCACAACTTCCACCTGCTGAGGATGAGCAAGTGCTACAACCACAGATGCAAGGATACAACTGAAAGTTTATAAATGGAATGGAATAAATGGAGGGGGGGGGGGGGGGTGTAAATTAAAGTCAGGATCAGTTCTCAGCTGACTGAGCAGTGGACTTCTGGACTTCCTCAGCCCAGGTGATGTCAAAAGGTTTGATGTTGAATCAGCTGAACAGCACTTTTTTTTTTAATAGTGCGAGTACTGTACGTTCATCTCATCATCATCTTCATCACCAAAGTGTTTAACAGGATATGAAGTGTGTAAGAGTGGAAAAGGGTTTATAATAAAATACATCTAATGCTGCCACTTCACAGATTTTCACTTATTGCAGGGGTCTCTGGAACATAACCCCCACCAAAGGTGAGGGATCACTGTAATCAGAAAACACATTAGTTATTCTGGTTAAACACGAACTTTGCTAAGAGACTTCAAAGATCCAACAAAGACGGATGGTTGAGCTTGGCCTTAAGTACTGCACACGATCAGCAGAAGCTGTGGGAGCAATCAGCACGGCCCATGTGAAAACCTGCAACATAGGAAGGGGAGACTGGAACAGACTGAATCCTGACAACAATCACTAAAGATTTAGCAAAATCAATAAAAGCAATAAAAAAATGGAGTCTGATCATATTGAAGACAACACAACACTAGCATTGCTAGAATAAAGGATTACTGATCGAATCGTCTATCTTTACAATAAACTGTTACTCTTGTGTTCACAACGCTGCCTTTTGTTCTTTTCTTCTTCAATTCTCCTAACTGCTCTCAATTACAACATAAAATATTTCCAGCACAGTTTTGACGGGGTCACTTTTTCCTGTGTATGAATAAAATCATTTAATATCCACCCTTCCCATGGTCTATCATGCAAAGATAAACCGTGCTCTCACAGGAAGTATTAACAGAGTATTCTTGGTGCATGGCAGGTGTTTGAAGTTAGAAGGAAGAAAGGCACAGATCTGATGTTCGTTTGACTTTGGTGTGCAAAAGTATACTTTTATTCTTATTATATATCCAACTTTTTTCCCCAACCCTTCCCCTCAACCCAGGCCTCACAACCAGTGGCATTCCCAGGTCACCAGTTACTCTCGGTTACAATAGCTAATCAAAAACTCACCTGCAGAAAGAAGGCAACCAAACAAAGAGCAGAAAAAAACCATTACTTTCAGTTTGTTTTTTCATGTTAAATAGTAATAAATACATTGAGATGCAGTGGTTTTTACTTTATCATTTTTTTCTTAAGCTCAAAGATTAAAAAGTTTTCTTTTCTGTTTCTATCTGTTTCATATTTTTATTGATCTGAGTTGGATCTTTAGCAGCAATTCGAACCGGTTGTCATGGTGATTAGCAGCACAGAGAGGAGGAGCTGTCTGGAGGAGAAACACATTAAGAAAAGTGGAGGGAGTGGGGGAAGAGTGAGGAAAAGGAGATCCATTTGAATGTCAGCAAGGCATCAGTATCCTGCCCCCTCCCCCTTCCTCCCCCAACCAGGTTGGAAAATAAACAGTGCTGAGTGTGTAAGTGTGTGCGTGCGCAATGGCTGCTGATTTCTTAAATCTGAATACAGTAATATCAGATTTGTGACCATCTTTCAGCTTACAGCCACAGTTTGGAGACAAATGGAGAAACATGCCCCCTCTCTTACCTATTCATCACCTTCCTCCTCTCCAGATTTAAACAACTACAACAAAAAAACAACACCCAACTCATAAAACCCAAGACAAATAAAATAATTTCAATACAAACACGCTTGTTAATCATCCTTTACCAATTACAGTTGCAACAGTGACAAGAAACTAAAACAGGAAAAAAGGAAGGTGTTTCCATCTTCCTTCTCCTCCATCTTCCGCCTCTTATCCAGAAGAAAGTGTCTCCTCTCGCTTCTTTGAACTCTGGCTGTGTGTGTAGTAGTAGTTGTTGAAGTTAAAATTTGTATGGCTTTAGGGCATGTTTCAGGTTTTATCAAGAGTTGGCTGGCCCTTCGTCTGAATCCGGCCTCCCTCTGCCCCCTGGAGCAGGGTTATTGTTGTTGGAGGCAGGGTAGTAGTCCTCAGGGGGCGGGGCTTGTGGCCCTGGGGCATTGGGGGCCGGCCGAGTCCGGAAAGCAGACAGTCCAATTGGCAAAGCGAGGGGCAGAGACGCAGAGCCAAACTGAGAGGCCTCCATGGAAGACACTGCCCCCAGGTGGTGCAGCCCCAGGGACACCCCCACATCCATGCTGTCACTCAATTGGGGTGAAGATCCCTGTTGACCTCCACCTCCGCCTATACTTGTTTGTCCACCTTGCCTTAGACCCCGTCCACCATTCCCATGGTGGGAGTAGGTTGGGTGCGGGTGGTGAGGTGGGTCCAAAAAGTGGCGCTGGTGTGGCTGGGCCGCAGCTGGTTTGTGAAGCAGCAAATGGGTGTATCCTGGGTCCTGACCCCCACCCCCACTTTCATTGCCTGGCCACATCCTCATCTGCTGCTGGGAGGGAGCCTGTACATGTGAAGGTGATGGAGTGAGGGGGTGGGGTTGGTAGAGAAGAAGACAGACAGGAGGTGAGACACATTTTCTGATCCAGGCCACAACAAGGTCCTGGATCCAGAAGACCAGCTACAGTACATGCTTTGTATAAGTATCTGGTCTGCTGGATCCAGGAATACAAGAACTGACAGACAAGCCGTTAAATAATGTAAAACTGTTTTAGACAATCTTGTGTCATAGCACTGTAACAAAGATAACTTCCAGGTTCATTTATATTTTCAGCCTAACATTTCCAAGTGGAACTTATGTTTATATGTTGCCACTTTGACTTGTTTGTGTAACAGACCATAACAGACGGGTGGTGTGAAGAGTAGATCAACTCCTTACTGGTCACCCCGTGCATGACGGTTAGGTATATACAGTAAGAGATGAGCGGAGGGGGAAGAGTTTTAGCTTTTTTTTTTTTAAAGAAGACGAACAGTTCACTGTTTGAGAAATAAGTAAAGTGAAAATGACTGAGGTGAGAAACCCCTGCTCTCATGGGACATCAAGTATTTAAGCTGGCTGATGTTGACGGAACTGGAGTAGTAGATGTTTCACAATAGCTCTAAGAGAATATGAGTATGATATATTTTAGTTAACCCCTAAAGTGTGTCCATCACTTGTCATTGCTATGTATTTGAAAATTTATCAGAACATGCTCCGTGTTATTTCTAGAAAAATGTTCAGTTTTTGGGCAAATAATGGGTTTACAAGGACTGGTGAAGGAGGCAGGGTTCCAGAGAAGCCAAATTGCATTAAAGCAACGTTATGGTGCATCAAAGGTAAAGCCAGATGACCTATGAGCTGAAATTATCACCGAACTTGAGTTGCTATAATCAGAGCTGGTTAAGAAGGAAGTGTCAACTACCAAAGGGCTCAGATGATCCATGACCTACAGAGCTCATGGCTATGCCTTTAAATAACTTGTTACAGTTTGAGGAGAAACCTCACCTGGACAGGACCCACCCTACGTTATGTGCTTCACCAAGGGAGGGCATGCCTCAACGACCTGTGTCATTATTAGGAAGACCCAGTTTCAAACCAGGAATATAATTTGACACAGTGCTGGAGGGGCTTTGAACCTGCTACTCAATGGGCGTTATTCATTCCAGTGAAGAAAATGCTCCATGGCTGTGCCAATTCAAAATTTGGTCTCTGGTATTTGACTACTCTAACGTCCCCATGTCTAACGGCCAGATACATAGGTTTAAAGACACCAACGTAGCTTTGGGCTTTGTCAACAAGATACTTCCAGAGACATCAGCCATGTGTTGAAGGTGACTGGTGACAGTCCTGCAAAATGTGCTCGGCTGTTTACCGTATGCTATCTATGTTTACACACACACATGCACGCACAGGCAGGTTCTCTTCACAAAGATGGCTTCCTTCACTCCTCTCTCAAACCATCGTTCTTCTCTATCAAGGATGTGAACATTTTCATCCCTGAAAGAGTGACCACTGGCCTGGAGATGAGTGTAGACCGCAGAGTCCTGGCCTGATGATGTTGATCTTCTGTGCTGGACCATCCTTTTGGCCATTCTTTGGTTCCTCTACATATAACTGATCACAGGCCTCCTGGCACTGAACAGCATTTATAATATTCCGTTTGTGTCGGGGGACTGGATCTATGAGACAAACCAGTCTTTGCCATAATGTATTTTGGGGTTTCAAATCTACTGGTGTCATGTTTAGAAAATAAATGTCTCCGTTTCTCTGATACTCCCCCAACATACAGAATGGCCACTGGTCTGAGTCTGGGTTCCTCCTTTTCACCTGATGGCTGACTGGAGTCCTGTTTGGGTTTCTTCTCTGCTTTCATACAGCAGAGCACTTTGTTATTAGTACAAACTTATTTCTTAATATTTTTTGGCATGGACAAGCCTTTCAAGGGTCTGTTTCTGCTGCTTGGCCATGTGTCTCTTCCATGCTCATTGGTGTCAGAAGCGTAATGTGCGGGGGACACACTGGCGGGGCTACCAACCCCCCCAAAAAAAAACTTTGGATCTAGATGATTCACGTAAATGACATATTTTGATTGAAATCAGCAATTTTCACAGAAAGACGACAAGTTTGCAGGTATGATATATGCTCATTTGTATTGTGTCTTTTATTTTTTTTATATTTTATTCATATTTAAATCCTTTTGTCACCTTTTGTTTATCTTTCATAAATAGCTTTCATTTTATTTCTCATAGGTAGATGCCATGTCGTGAGGAGTTTGTTGATTTAAAATGGTTAAAATGTTAAAAACATTAAAATAAGTGTTAAAAACAATAAACGGTTGACACATCCGTCTAAGTTTGAGCCGTACACATACGTCATCAGCGCTGTGTATGAATGGGCTCTTGAGTAATGTTTATGTTTTCAGGACCGTTAAATTCAACAAGTTTGTTTTCAACACAAGGATGATTAACTGAACATAGCGCAGACATTCTTTAGGGCTGTTCTGTTTGGCTGAACAGCTGCTAGAACCTGAAAGAGTTTCAGACCAAACCTATCTACTTCATGCAGTAAAAAGTGCTGATATTTCTCTTGATCGTCAGGCAGGTGTCTGCTACGTGCACATTAGGCTGTAACACCTGCATGTTACCTACTTCTTATTAATAAAATGCATGCCTCTTAATTTTTCTTTTAACTACTATAAAAACTCAAGGCCCTGATGTTGAAAGTTGTCAGTTGTTATGACCCATCTGAAGGGTCATCAATGTCCCTCCCCCTAGGTTTACAGTGTGTTTTGGGGAAGACACACTGACAGAAACATTTAAATGATTTATGGTGGTCATGTGTGTCTATCCATTTTATCTAATTGATCTAAACTGTCCGTAATTTTTATTTATACATGTACATAAACGAGAAACAGGTGGAATGTTCCCTTCAGGTCAGGGGACAGTCTTTGCCTCAAGTGGAGGGATTTAAGGGTGGGTGTCTTGTTCATGAGTGATAGTAGGCTGAGGTGGAAGATGAAGTGACAGATCGAGGCCTCGTCCTCAGTAATTAGGGCGTTGCCTCAGTCAATCGTGGTAAAAAAAAAAAAAAAAAAAAAAGAGTTTAACTCAAAGGCAAAGTTCTTGATTTACGGGTCCCTTTACATTTCAGGCCTGACCTATGGTCATGAGTTATAGATCATGACCGAACGAATAAAATACTGGACACAAGCAGCCAAAATGGTCTTTCTTCATAGAGTGGCCGGGCTCAGCCTTAGTGAAAGAGTGAGGAGCTCCTTCTTTCAGGAGGAGCTTGGATAGTACTGGGGTCCCCCCAGATGGAGATGGAGAGTATTGTTGGGGAGAGGGATGTCTAGGTTTCTCTCCTGGACCTGTTGCCTCTGTGACCCGACTACAGATAAGTGGTGGACAATAGGGAAGGAGATGGAATGGTATGTACACAATTATTATTAAGGTGGCATGCCAAGTATTGATTCAGTATGTGGGTCACAGTTTGGTGAATTCAGTACAAAATGAAAGAGAAATAAATGTCAGATACAACTTTTTTGTTACAGACTACAACTCTCCCAAAAGCAGAGAAGCCGAAAAAATAACTACAGTAAAAACACTCTTATTAGTGGGGAACGTCTAAGGTAGCAGGGCATGTAAGGTATTTATTTTCTAATGCATTTTCACTGTAAAAAAAATAAAAAAAAATTAGCCAAGGTAGTTAAAAAGTTCTATGGCAGCAGGGCTTTGGGGGTGTTCTGGTTGACAGGCCTCTGCAACATTGCATGAACATTGCTATTGGACTGGCAAACTGGAGTGGTTGTTCCCTTGTTCAAAGAGGGTGACTGGAGAGTGTGTTCCAATTAAAGAGGCATCACGTGCCTTAGCCTCCACAGAAAGGTCTATTCATGGGTAATGGAGAAGCAAGTTCGATTGTTGGTTGAAACCTCAGATTCAGAAAAAATGTGGGTTTCGTCCTGGCCGTGGAACACTGGACCAGGTCTTTACTCTCACTAGGGTCCTCGAGGGGTCATGGGATTTGCCCATCCAGTCCACATGTGTTTTGTGGACTTGGAGAAGGCATTTGACCGTGTTGCTCAAGGTAAACTGTGGGGGATGCTCCGCGAGTCTGGGATTGGGGGCCTGTTGCTACGGGCTGTTCGGTCCCTATATAAACGGTGCGAGAGTTTGGTTCGCATTGCTGGCAGTAAGTCGGACCCCTTCAGGGTTGGAGTTGGACTCTGCCAGGGCTGCCTGTTGTCACTGATTCTGTTCATAACTTTTATGGACAGAATTTCTCAGTGCAGCCAGGGGCAGAGGGAATCCAGTCTGGTGGCTTCAGGATTCCATCTATGTCATTTGTGGATGATGTGATCATGGTGGCATCATCATGCCGTGATTTTCAGCTCTCAATTCAATTCAATTCAATTCAAAAATACTTTATTAATCCCAAAGGGAAATTATTTGTTGTTGTAACTCATTATCCTCATTTCATTAAGAGATGTTATAGATGTTGATGGCTGTAGGCAGGAAGGATCTCTTTTAAAGGTCCATCCCACAGTGGATCCTAAGAAACTGGCTGCAGATGACGTCCAATCCGTCCACCCAGACTCGGCTGGCCTCTTGGTTCCCCTGGGCTGTACGACCGCCCGAATTCCAAGCAGAACTTCTCCCAGAGCGATGGTCACTCCTCCCAGCAGTCTGCCGAGCTCCTCGTCATGTAGGTGCCGAGGGTCGATCCTGTCCTTCTGCTGTCATGAGCCATGTTTCCTGCCAGTTCCAGGATCTCAGTGGTTAGGCACTCGAGCACAGCTGGCAGGTAGATGAGAATGCATCCACAGAACATCCTTTTCAACTCATTTGAGATTTGGGGCTGTAGCTGAGATATTATTTGAGCTTTTGACATGTTAATCAGCTGCTGTTGGTTGAAGAAAACTGCCTTGTTGCCATGGTTACGCATCATAACAAATGTCCAAAACTAAAAAAGTTTCAGTAAAAATCCTTCCAGCTGCACAGCATCTGATACCAGAGGAAACAATCATCCAAAAAATGTGATTTACATCCAGAAAAAGAGGAATTAAAGTTTCCAAAAGCAAAATCTCAGAATGAAAGTAACAGAGCTGCTCCAACTTGCAGCCACCCTGAGCGGCGCAATTCTAGAACATAAAAAACTCACTGGAGTGGTTTGCAGTTTAGTGTAAAGCAGCTGGGATGAGGACCAGCACCTCCAAATCTGAGGCCATGGTCCTCAGTCGGAAAAGGGTAGATTTCCCTCTATGGGTTGGGGGTGAGGTTCTGCCTCAAGTGGAGGAGTTCAGGTATCTTGGGGTTTTGTTCACGAGTGAGGGAAGAATGAAGCAGGAGATTGACAGATGAATCTGTGCAGCATCTGCAGTATTGCAGACTCTGTGTCGGTCTGTTGTGGTGAAGATGGAGCTGAGCTGTAAGGCGAAATTCTCTGTTTACTGGTCGGTCAACATTTCTACCCTCACCTATGGCCACAAATTCTGGTAAGAGTGCTCCCTGGATGCCTACCTAGGGAAGTGCTCTGGGCATGTCCAACTGGGAAGAGACCTCAACCTAGACCCAGTAAACGCTGGAGAAACAATGTCTCTGAGCTGGCCTGAGAACACCTTGGGGTCCTTCCAGAAAAGCTAGAACAGGTAGATGGGGAAAGAGATAGTTGGGCCTCTTTGCATAAGCTGTTGCCCCTGCATCCCGACTCTGGAATAAGTGAGTGGGTGGATGGATTTATGGATGAAAGGATGGATTGAGTAAAATCAAATTTTAAAAAAAGAAGAAAAAGGACTGTTAGTTTTAAGAACTTGAGCCAGACATGACGCAAAATAAAAAAATCATCATAAAATTAAATAACCTTTCCTGATGTGAAAGTACAAAACAAATAAAATGTGAAACCCTCAACCTCCTCAACGACTGAGTGCTAGTGTGGGAAAATAACACTTGAAATCAGGAATTTTGAATAAATATGTGGCGGCACGGTGGTGGTTGGGCAGTGATTAAAGTGGTCTTCTCACAGCTGGAAGGTTGCAGGTTCTCCTTATTCTCCTTTGGCCTTTTCATGTACAGTTCACATGTTCTCCTGTGCATACATGGGTTTTTATGAATGTTAGGTTAATTGATAGCTAAATTGTCAGAACGTGTGAATGAGGGCATAAATGGTAGTCTGTCTTGTTTGTCTCTGTGTCCCTGTGATAGACTTGCAACCTGTCCAGGGAGTACCCTGTCTCACACAACTGCTGGATATAGGCATCAGCTTCTCCACAACCTTGCATAAAATTGTGTTAAAAAATATTTGAATATCGTAATACATTTGTAAATGGCTTATCAAAGTGCTTTTCAAAGCCACAATTGCATTATATATTTGCTTACCGTATATGCACCTCTTGTGTCCCTGTGCTGCAGCAGTTATGTGACAGTGGCATGCAGACCTTTATGTCGCACAACTGATTTGAATTAAACAGGCAGGTCTTTAGGTTTATGAGTGTATTCTGAACCACCCATGCTCTATTTAGTGTGTTGTATTTAGATAGTATCCTTCCTTGATTTTTTTCTTCGTGACTATTAGCAAAATGATCCTAAATAACACGTGCTTGTTTCTAGATGTGATAAATATCCCAAAAATGGCATGCAGTTGTGTAAATAAGATAAAAATCAAAGGCTTTTTAGTTTATTTAATAAAATATCAGGTATGGTCCTATTCTGTAGTAAAGTAATCTTAATTGACTTCTGTTATGATCTGGTGCCTTCAACCACTCACCCCCAATTATAATGGTAGGGCAAACACTGGTCATGATGTAAATTGTGATGGTGATGGATACCTGAGGACTTGTCATCTCGTAGTCTGAATGGGTAACAGCAGAGTTGTAGTAGCGGTTGCTGTAACGGTAGTTGCGGTTATCATTGGAAGAACCACTGGAGCCACCTGGAAATAAATCAGTCATTCATTAATGGCAGATTTTGCTTTTTTGAATTGACATATATTATGGAAACACCATTTTTTAACTCCATATAATGTGTAAGGTAAAAGCCAACACAAATTTATTAGTATAGCATTTTAAATTATCTTAGAGAACCAATGTTGTACATAGCAGACAAAATTTAAATATAAAATTCAAAACAAACAATAAAAACAACAACAAAAAACAACAACAATCAAATTCAATAAAAAAAATAATAGGATCAACTCTTACAGTGTTAAATAATTGTTAAAATTTGGACTTTAGGATGAGATTTAAAAGACTGAAGATCTGCCTAACGTGAAGAAGCTCGTTCCACATTTAAGGAGCTGATACAGCAAGAGCGTGGTCTTGTAAAAGCAATGTAAAATACTAAAAACAGGAACATGTCTGTATTGGTTTGTCATGAACTTAGCAGTTGCTTGAAGACACTTAGAGAGGTCAAGGTCGAGAGCTTCAGATATTTTTGCAAGATATTCCAGGAAGCAGGAGCAGAGTAGGAGAAGGCCCTTTTGCCTAGTTCATCCCTCACTGAGGGTACACTGCATGTAATAATGTCCTGAGAGCACACGCTGTTTCAGGGACCCTCAAGAGCAGCTGATCTGAGAGAGTGTGGGTGTAAGGGTGTAGCAGATCAGAAAAGTAGAATGGGGCAAGACAATTCAAGTTATAAAAATCAAATAAAAGAATTTTGAAATTTACCTTAAAGTGCCTTTGACACGCATATTCTACAAAGTACAAATATAAAATTGGAAGAAAACATCTTTATAGTTACGAATTTTGGCATAATTCACAATTTTACACATTTTGCCATATAAATGGCATTTTTTTAATAGTGACTCAAAATAATCTAAATAAAATTCAGATTATTTCCTACAGTCTGTGTTATTAGCCATTGTAGAAATGCTCTGTTAAAATGCAGGCATCTCCCTTCATCATTACTTCCTGTTACAGTTAATGCAAATATCTCAGCAACGTCAGCAGCATGGCATTTTCTGTAATCCTTTATTAATGTTATCTTTCCAAAAATGCATTCATATTATTATGAACATCACGTCACAGGCACTTTAAGATGTATGGGCAGCCAATGCAGTGATGTTAACACAGAAACAAATGTGCTTGTGTTTATGAGTGTCAGTTAAAAGTTGTGAAGCAGCAGTCTGTACCGTCTGCAGACGGTGTATGGAAGACATACTAACCTGCAGATAAAGTGCTTTACAGTAATCCATGACAAAAGCATAGATTAGCATCTAAATGCCTTTTTGAGAGAATAGGTTTTACTTTGGCCAGCTGTCTCAAATGATAAAAACTCCTTTTAAAAACAACCCTGATCTGATTAATTTGATTTAAGGACCTCCAAATTCCTGACAGCTTACTGTAGTGTCTCTAAAAAAACATATTTATTTTTATTTTGACCCATTGTGTTCACGCTCTTGTGTGGGGTCAGACACAAACTGCACAAGATTGAATCTATAACATTTAAAAAGTCTGTAGCCATTGGCTTGTCAGGACAACTTCTTCTTCTTTCGGCTTTTCCCTCGTCAGGGGTCGCCACAGCGAGTCGTCCTCCACCTCACTCCAACTACCTCCATGTCCTCTCTAACTGCATCCACATATCTCCTCTTTGTCTTTTTCCTAGCAGCTGCTTGCTTGTCAGGATAACACGCGTGAATATTTAAATGACCAAAAATAAGAACGTGTCATAAGTGTGTATCGTTTCTGCAAGAAGATCAAAGAAGTAAATAATAAAATCTCTATGTTTTTTGAGAGGTCGATAGACCACAGTACACAACACTATATGTGGATGACCCAGTTCAAATAACTTCAGTTCAAAGCTGGTAAACAAAGACAATGACAATAGCTCCCTACATTTGAAATAGCATTTATTGGTAGTTGCTTTTCCTCCTCCTCGACCCGATGTTTGTGGGAAGTTAAAGTAGCAGAAATCCTGAGGTACAAATTTAATAAAAACACAAGACTCACCTACACTCAACCCTGTTTCAGACAAACAGAGAAAGTTTGATCTCTAGGATGAGAAGAACTTCCTAAGGATAAAGGTTTTGTTTGGTTGTGATCTGGTGTTACTGGACTGACCCTGGAAGAAACCAGCAGATCTAAGGCACTGGGTATCTGGAGATCATGGCCAAAAGGCCGCAGGTTGTGCAGGTTCAGCCTTTGCCAGCAAGGATAAGGAGACAAGGTCCACAGAGCTGAAACATCTCACCCAGACTAACCAGGTGAAACAGGGTGGGGGGAATGCCACGAAACAAAGTGGTGAGGCACCCATTTGAGTTTGGTCCAACAAACCTCTGAAAATTGTATCAAATAGGCCTTCACCCTCACCACCCTGCCACAGCGGCTACCACCCTGGAGGTGTGGTCGGGTCACAGAGCGAGTCGGATGGGATCCCACGGTGGCAAAGGTTTTTGTCCTCAATGGTCAAGTTTCACTAGCTTGTTGGCACAACATTGTAAGTCCAGCAGGGTCTGATGATCATACACCACTGAGGAGGTGACATGATGGATAATAAGTGACACAAACAAAAATAAAAACAAAAGTGTTGGGAGTGGGAGATGGTACACAAGCCAGAGGCGCCATCTTGTACGTCTGTTTACTGATCATATTACAAAGCTCCTGAAGGACAGTCCAATGAAAGAAAAAAGTTTAGCTGCTTTTTTCTAAAACTTAGTCATGTATCAATACACTGCAGGTTAACAAATCTCCTTTAGTCTCTCATTTTATTCATGTTTAGGTAAAACACAACCTTCACATGTCTACCTTCTACCTTATCTTCATTTTCTTTTACACATTTGTTCCTTATTATTACGAACTGTTTGCTGGAACTTCTGACATCAGAATTACCTGTATGTATTATTTAGAATATACTGAACTCATGAGAATTGGAATATGTTAATAGATTTTAATCTGACAGTTCTGGAAATAATCTTACTGTGTTAACATGGAATTGATTGGATTAAACTGTAAAAAATATTTTGAACTGGACTTGCTATTTTTTCTGTAGAGTGTAAGAATACAAGAAAGTACATGCTCAATAATCCAGGTATACAATCCAATTTAGCACCAACAAAACTGGTTTGTTCCACTTTGGAGTAAGCTGTTGGGGGAAGAATCAGTTTCGTTGTGCGTTTCCTTGACTGATGAAGCCTTCTGGATCGAAGGCGAAACGTTTCAGCACAAAAAAAAGAAACTGTCCAGATGACCTGACTGAAAAATGTTGGAGTGTAAGAATAAATCTGTTGTAATCTGGTCCTACAGAACTAAGAGAAAAGCAATGTTCTCCAGAGCGTGTATGTGCATCTGTGAGTGTTTGTGCATAAAATCAGTGCTTGTGATTATTTTTAAGGATGACTTATTATTGTGAAGTAGAAACAGCTGCAGAATGTGAGAATGCTTTACCAGAGCTAGAAACAGAGCTAGTTGTGGAGGTTGAATGTGAGTGGTCCATGGCAGGAGAGGTGGATGTAGATGAACTGGTGTTGGTTCCTTCATCTGTAGTTTTCTTGAAGAAATTGTGCTGCAGGGCATAGAATGGTGTGATTCGACTTTTAGGGTCATAGTCCAGCATGCGCAGGATCAGGTCTGAAGGAGAACAAATAAAACCACAATCATGAGAACGTTTTTGTTGTCAGGAAACAAACTTTTCACAACACCTCAGAAACTAAGCTCTCCAAATTCTATCATGATAAACATATTTCTGACAACTGGTTTAGAAGCTTCTACTAAAATATTTAAGACATAAACACGCAAATTAATTATTCTACTGAAACATTTTAGGCCACCCCAATGTATATTTAGCATTTTATTAGAAATGTTCACGTATTAATGTCGACTCGTGTTTTATCTCTGGATAAGAAGGTAATTTAGTTGCAGGTAAACAACAAACCTTGTCACACTGTTTAACTGATTAAATGAAAAATATTAACAAAATGTTTATTCTAATGGAGGAAAAATTGAGGACACCCTGTACACTTAAAGCAGGTGTTACTCTCCATGGCTGAAATATTTTCCGTAAGGTGCTTCTTGTAGCCATGAACCATTGTCTGACATTATTCTGAGGAAAGTTTTCTCTCCTCAGTGCTGGAATGGTTTGGTTGTGAGTTGATTGAGGGGTTTCTTCCATTTACAGTCTATTTCAAATGCTCCCACTGCATCTCGATGGGATTAAGATCTGGAATTGGCTCGGCCATTCTAGGATCCTCCATGTCTTTGTTTTCAAACAGTCTTTGATAGGTGGTCCAAAATGCTGCAGCTTGGCTATTGATAGGAATTCACAGATTTGAGCATATTTCACCAGTTTTGTCCTCCCTTCACTGGCTCCCTGTGCGTGTCAGAATTGATTTACAAATTGCCCTGTTGATGTTTAAGTGCATTAACGGCCTTGTACCCTCATTCCTCTCTGACCTACTTCAACTATACGCTCCTTCTCGGGCTCTGAGATGATCAGACCAGCTGCTTTTGGTTGTACCAAAAACCAGGCTGAAGCTCAGAGGAGATCGAGCTTTTTCAGACATTATGGGCCCTAAACTCTGGAGCAATCTGCCCATCAACATTAGACACATCACTTCAGTCCCTGCGTTTAACTCTCCTGAAAATGCACCTGTATTCACAGACATTTAACACAGTATGATCTGATTTATTATCCCATTGTTTCTCGTTGTGTTTGAATGTTTTTATTTTTTCATACTTTTAATTATATCTTGTTATTTTTTACTTGATGCTGTGATTTTATTGTTAAGCACTTTGGTAACAGTTTCTGTTTTAAATGTGCTTTATAAATAAATTTGACTTGACTCGATGAGGTATTTACACTATACGTATTTTTCTTTATTGGTATTTTTTGTGGGGCATTGTCATGTTGCAGGGTCCAGTTCCACTTCCACTTTAGTTTTATTTATTTAATTTATTTATTTTCAGGTGGTTTCACATGTTCCTCCAGTACCCTTCGATGGTGAGCGGGTCAGGTCCTGCTGCAACAAAGCACCCCAAACCATGACTGTATTTCACAGAATGGATGAGGCTCTTTTCTTGGAATGCTGTATTTGGTTTATGCCAAACATGCATTCTGGTACGGTGTCCAAATAATTTAATTTAAAACTCATATGTCCAAAGAAAATTGTGCCAGAAATCCTGTTGTTTTTTTGTGTTTTTTCAGGTGAACTTCAGTCTGGTCTTCAATATTTTCTTAGAGAGCAGAGGTTTCCTCTTTGCACACTTTCCATGAAAGTTAACTAGTAGCATTCTTATTTTAGAGGCATTCCCTTCTCACGTTCACATTAGCAAGACCCTGCTGTAGGCTACAAGAAGACATTCCAGCGCTTTTGAAGACCTTTTAGTGTCTTACAGTCTTCCCTTGAAGTGAAGGCCGTGCTTTTTATAGTTCCAGCTTCGTGCACTCCGTCCATCTTTCGGACGACTGTACGTACACATTCTCGTTGTATCTCGGTGCAATGACAATAAAGTTTATTCTGATTCTTCTGATTCTGAACTTGCCTGGACAGCCAGGTCTGAGCATGTCGAAGTAGTTTTAAATGTACTCCACTTGTAGATGTTTTTATGGGCAGAGGAATGGCTGATTTCAAATCGTTTTGAGATATTTTAAAATCCCTTACTAGCTTTATAAGTTGATATCTTCTTCTTGATGGCTGAAGGTAGCTTTTAAGATCTCATCATGGTGTTCACTGTCACTTTAGCAGTCAGCAGCAGACCAAGCCTTATGTTTAAGGTTTAAATAGAGCAAACCTCCTTCAAAATTTTGAGTAAAAATGTTCTAATGATGTGCACCTGATGTGATACAAACTATGTGTGATTTCAACAATTTCAAATTTGAGTAAATATTGAAACGTCTTCATTTATTCCTTACCCCAAAACTACACACTTTGTAAAATTACATTTTAAACAAAGTTTTAAAGTTTCTAAAGGCTTGAAATTGTCCTGTGTTGTTAAAATGTATATTTAATTTACACATGACAGTCACAATTTATTTGACCTAATGTACACAGATCTGTACACAGGTTTTTCTCCTGGTTGCAGTGCAGAAGGAACAGTTCTCAAAGAAGGGAGATGGCTGTGGGGGTACCTTGTTGTGTCTGCCGGTTTTTGTTCCAACAAAGAAGCAAAGATAATCTGGCTAGAGTGCAAGTTTTCAAAAATGTTTACTGCCCAGTCTGATGATGCAATCAAGCAGATTTTTAGTGTGGGCAGTGGAGCCTGTGTAAAACACTGACATGGAGGAGGTCAGGACACATGTCCAAATATGTTACAAAACAACATTTCTTAGGGTGTCCTAATGTTTTCACATGACTGCAGCTCTAAGGTAAATCCAAATCTGATTTTTTAATCCCAACAAACCCAGCTGGCTAATGAACACTTATCAAGGCCTAATGAAGCCGGGCTGGGCCTTCTTCTGGTCTGGGGTTCTAATCATGCTCATGTTTTCATCCAGTGGACATTTTAATGGTCCTGTCCATTTCTTTTGTTTATACTTTGCTCAGTGTGGAGTTTCTAATCTACATTAAAGCACCACTCTACCTTAACTATAATTCAGCATAACTTTTTTAAGACACCAGCCTTTGTAGACTCATATCACTGTAAGGAGTTTCCATTAGTTTTTCAGTAATAAGACTAGGGCCAGTGCTGAACTAGGTTGTTTTATTAAAATTAAAACATATAAAACAAATACATAAAGAAACAGTTAAGAGCTGCTTTGGTTTGACATATCCAGAGATTGGAGCTGCATCATTCCACAGAGGATGATGGTAGAGCAGATTGACGGTTTATCTACACAAACTGGATTAAATTCACTGTTGAGATCTGAACTGGATTTCTGGGATGGATTTGTCACTACTTTGTTCAGTGTATAGATAAAACATTTGTTGTAAATTTGTGCTTTATAAATAAAATGTATTAAATTTGAAGTTTGTGTTATTATCCCTGTCTTAATACAACCAACTTATTTCACAGGCATTGTTTAAAACAACAGCTGGTGTTAGTAAACACTTTTTATATTACCAAATAGCTAACGTTGATCAGTGTATAAGTCCAAGGGGATGGCAAACCTTTAAATTTCAGGTAGTCACAGGGGGCATGTCCTGGCTCTCCGGACCTCCTGCCCCCTGGGCCCCCAGTCTCTACACCCAGAATTTCATGAAGACGCCGAGTGGCTGGGGGCTTATACTCCTGAAACACACACAAACACACGCACAGTTAAAAATATACATATACAGAAAAACATGACATCAGTTAAGCCTGCTAAAAATAAATTATTGGATCCCAATAATCTATTTTTTACTGCAATTTAAAAACATTTTTTAATGACGGTCATTAAAGATATTTTGTCAAAAAAGCCAGTTTATATTGGCCATGACTGATTTATAATAGCAACAAAATTGTAGAACATCCAACTGGTTTAGTACTTTTTATAGGCACTGTACATGCATGATATGCTGTGATGTTTTCTTGTTCAGTCTGGAGAATTTTAGCAACAATAACAAATCAGAGGGTGATGCATAATAAAGGCTGTTTCTATTCTATTCTATTCTATTCTATTCTATTCTATTCTATTCTATTCTACTCTACTCTATTCTATTCTATTCTATTCTATTCTATATCTAAAACTAATAGAACTTATATCAGGAAATAAAAGGTCAGATTGTATGACTCTAGCTTATATAAAACACACAGTCTCTTTGAATTTCAAATTATTTTTGTGCTTTTAGTTTAACTTCAAAGTGGACTATTTATAGGTATGTTAGAATTTTCATAGATATATTTTTTAGCTGTTTTGACAGATTGTTGTAAAACATTTTGATCTGAAAAATTTATATAAAGCTAGTGGTAGAGAGGAAATAAATACATAAATAAATAATATTTAAACAATTTCAGAAGAATGTTTGTTTTTCAGTACAAAATTGGGAAGAGCATAATATCTCATCATCTACATTTCCTAATTTCATCAAAAGATTTCAAGAATATGCAGAAATCACTGTGTGCTAAAGGATAAGGCTAAAAGTTGGTATTGGATGGGAAACATTTTGGGTCACTCATGGACCACTGTATTAAAACAAGTCTGATTTTGTTATGAATGTCTCTGCATGAACTCAGGAAAAACTTCCAAAAATCCTTTATTCTGTAAACACAGCTGAACCATCTACAAATGCAGGTTAAAGCTCCATCATGTAAAAAAATAAACCATATATGAACACTGTCTAGAAACACCATCTTCTCTAGGTCAAAGCTCATTTAAAATGGACTGAGGCAAAAACAGAAAACAGTTATGTGCTAAAAAAAAACAAAAAAAACATGGATGCCACATTCTCTATACTAGAAAGGGACAAGCAGTTTACACATCTGAAAAGGCACCAACAGTAGAAAATACAGGTTTTAGAACCACAATATGCTCCCACCCAGATGTCTTTTTCAAGGAAGTTGTATACTTTAGCAAGACAATGCTAAACCACATACAGCATCCATTACATTAGCTGGCTTTGTAGTAGGTAAGCACAAGTGCTGAGATGGCCTGTCTGCAGTCCAGACCGCTTACCAATTGAAAATATTTGATGCATCATGGAACAAAAATGCAGCAAAATAAACCTAGGACTGTTAAACAGTTACAGTTCTATACCAGACAAGAATGGGACAACATTCCTCTCCAAAAATACCAGCAACTGGTTTCCTCATCCCTTAAATGTTTACAAACTTGTTGAAAAAAAAGTGATGCTCCACAGTGGGGGAACGGCCCTGGAGCAACTTTTTGGACAGATGTTTCTACCATCAAATCCAAAATTACTAGCTTTATTCTCCTAAAAGTCTTTCTTTCATTTGATATGTTTGATAGTGTTGCTGGACCTTACAGTGGCTTTCCATACAGTGGACCATGCTGTCCTGTCACACATGAACACTATGCTGGTATATGTGGTTCCACACTCAAGTGGTTTGCTTCCTACTTAATCAACATAACTTTTTCTGTTGTGATGGGTAATCTGTCTTCTTTTACTGCCTTTCTTTCTTGTGGTGTGCCACAGGGCTCTATTCTTGGTTCTCTCATTTTTTCTCTTTAAATGCTGCCACTTGGATCAGTTATAGTCAGACACCACTTTTCTTTCCACTGTTATGCGGATATCTTATTTGCCTATGAAGTCTAAAAGCAGTCACCTTAAAACTTCCTTTACTGATTGTTTTGTTGACATGAAACAGTAGCTTCACCAAAATTTTCTGTTTTTAAATGACGGTAAGACAGAGTGTATTTCTTTTGGTGATGATGATCCTTGTAACATTGGTGCTTTTTGTGCATATTTAATAGACAAAAAAAGGCATCCTACTAAAACTTTCCCTGTTGGGGTAAAACTTCCAAATACAATCACACATCAGAACTGATGTTTTACAGATGTTGACAACACTATGTGCTTTTACCGTTTTGTGGTTGTAGCTGAGACGCAGGTCAAGCAAAACCTTCTATGCATTTTTTTAAAGTTTGGTAATCAAACTCAGTTTAATTAAAAAAACAAATAAATAACTTAAAAACAGTAATACTAAATATCAGAAAATGTTACCATAGTAACCCTTGAAACCAGTAGCAATTTCATCCGTGGCCAATATCAGGATTCTGTTTAGTTCAGAATCAGAGAGTCATAGATTCTTTATTGTCATTCGCACCACAAGCGGTACATGTGGTGGAGCGAAATTATGTACACAGGGTCCCAGTTACATCCAACAATAAAAATGTAAAAGAAAAACAATGATAATGATAATGACAGTTGTGCATCTGTACAGCATTTTGTTCATATATGTAAACAACAATTAATTTTCTTGTGCATGTCACCAATGGGCTTCTAAAAATAAACTAGATAATGGCACTGACCTTTTTATGACTAAATTGTAATGAAGGTGGGTGTTACCTTCTTTACATCCTTATTCTTCTTCACTGTCCATAAGCCATCTGATAGCTTGTCAAAATACTTCCTGGCTTTAGGAGCTGAGTCCAACATGTGACTGGGTGGAACCCCCAGGACCTCCACAATCTTATTCATCTGGTCGACCTGTTCATAAATACATTTATCCATGTTGTAAGAAACAATACAAACACATAAAAGCCTTTATATACTTTCTATTTAGTGTTGCTTTACCTCATTGGAGCCACTGAAGAGAGGCTCCCCTGTGTGCATCTCCACAAGGATACATCCCAGAGACCACATGTCAATAGCCAGGTCATATGGCATTCCCAGAAGAACCTCAGGTGAGCGATAAAATCTGCTCTGGATGTACTGATAGATCTGAAAACAGAATGACACAGAAGCTGAAGGACTCGAGAATAAAACGAAATTTGAATTTATTTTCTTGGATTCTGGATACATAAGCCTTTCATAACCGTTCATGTTTAACCAAATCACCCATATAATTTTACATTTCTGAATACATTAGAGAAACAATTATGAACAAGAAACAACAGGAACAAGGACTGAAACAATTATTCACAAATTGATGTCAGCTTTATCAGTGAAGAGAATGCTCACCCTCTGTCCCAGCTGACATGAGGATCCAAAGTCCACTATTTTGATGGCAGATCTTTTGGGATTACACAGCAGGATATTCTCTGGTTTTAGATCGCAGTGGATGATTGACAGTTCTGGAGTGGCCAGGAATAATAATGCTGTAAACAACAAAAAACAAAATGCACATTAACAACTATACAAACAGTGTATATATAGTTTACTTCAAACAGGTTCTCTACCAGAATCCTGGGAAGTTGAGGGATCTGCACAGTTTCTTAGCTGTTTCTAGGAGTGCAATCTTCTGGACAGATATCTCTGAGGTTTTTCTTTGGAGCCACTCTCCAATTTGGGGGTCACACCAATGAGGCATCGACTCTCCACAGCTCCTCTGTTTATTTACTATACAGAACCCTCAGACTTCAGGTAGGCAGAGGAGCCAATGTTGAAGTGAAAGTACAAACCCTCATGAGGAAAGAAGCGAGCACAGAGCTTGGTTATTATTTATATTACTATGATTTACTTTTTTCTCACAAACTGAAAAGTGACATAACCAAATGGCAGTATTAAGGTACAGAAACGTCTGTGCTGGGTATGGACTGGACGTCCCAGAGTCAAAGTGGAAGACTCCCCCAAAGGAGGAGAATGACAGGGCTAAAATATTGTGGGGCTTCCAGAGCCACACTGAAAACCAGGTGATGGCTAACCAACTGGTCATTATGGTGGTTGTACCAGTAGTAGTAGCTGTCTAGTGAACTGTTACTCTTTAGGGCTTTTTTTTCCTTCCCTGTGGCCTTTTTAGAAACTAATGACTTGTTTTTCTGTTTCTTAGACTATTTCCCTGTGAGGAGATATCAGGTTTTGTTTTGGTCCCTCTACCTTTCTACCTTGGAGTTTCCCTCGCCTACGCCCCCACGATAACTCGTGATCCGTTATTAGTGTGTGTATGTGTGTGTGTGTGTGGGTGGGGGTGGGGGGGGTGTCAGAAGCCAAGCATTAGAGAGGGGGTCCTATCAAAATATGTTTTTTTTAATGTGTTCTTATCGTTTTTGTGATTTCAGGATCTTTGTAATCTCTTTCAGATTATTGACCTCTGTGTTACCCTCCAGTTAATTGTCCCATATTGTTCCAGTTTAGTTAATTCGTTTCCACCCTTTAAAGATCCTCCTCTATTCTGTTTCTTTGTGGGTTCATTGTCACATTCTCAGTAGAGATCCCCTGTGCTTCAGCCAGAAGTTTTGTGTTTAGTACAGGTGTTAACAGTTCAATTCTTTATAATAAAGAAACTTTTAGTTCTTTGATGCCTGGATCCATACTTTGAGTCCCTTTCTCTAGCCGTGAAACCAGAACCTGGTAAAAACATTCCATTATGGGACTTAGACACTCTCAGTCCGTTATTTAACATGCTTTAAACATGACGGACCAAACACATGCATGTTAAGCTAATTGGTAATGCTAAATTGTTCCTAGGTGTGACTGAGAATGTGAATGTTTGTCTTGATTGTTTCTATGTGGCCCTATGATGGACTTGTGACTTGTTCAGGGTGTACTTTGCCTCTCACACGATGACTGCTGGACATGGGTATCAGTGACCCCTTCAACCCTGAACGGAAGCAGCAGCTAAAGCTGATGGATGGATGGTTGAGGGGGACATCTGTCACAAATTTAATGTGTAGCACTCCATGTCAACACAGACGAGTTCTGCTCGTCTCTTTCAGTTCCACGAATCTTCCTTAATTTCTAAATGTTCAAATCTATGTGGGACGTAATCTGTTCAATTAGTGGTTTTTAAATGTCTGAAGCAGACAGGTAGGTAGATTCATCTTGGGGGAAAGTGAATACAGACTCACATGATAACAAGATATTGATAACAACTGTCTGAATTGGGCTGCTGGTCCAGAAAGAAGACACTGTTAATGTTAGCAAAAGAATAAGCTGGTTGTAGTTGGTTTTGTGTGTTTGGTCGTACAGTTTTAATTTTGGTTTGTTAAAATCTAATGATGTCTGAGTAACATGGGGATTATTGGTCAGAAGGAGTTTCCCGTTTTGGAAATATTTTGGGTAAATCTGTTTTGGATATTGCTTGTTTCAGTAATAAAGTGGAGCAATGTCACATTCTTTCATTCTTGAAAATAGCTGCACCCCTTTTAGGGAAAAACAAACGTGTAAACCTGCTGGTGTCAAAGGGGAAATATTAGCAGAGTCATGCCTGAAAGTTTCTGTTTTGCATTTTGCTCTGCAGAAAGAATAAAAGAAAACCAGCTTTCGGTTTCTAACAAGGTTGAGTCAGATCCTCTGGACAGATTTTTATTTGTTGAAACGTTTCATCTTTTATCTAAAAGACTTCCTTCCAAAGCTTTCTGTTTGTTCACATCAAAACAGAGAGATGCAGTTATAAGAAAAGTTGTGGCTTCGGTCCAGCCACAGAGGAAAAAAATTGTAAACAGTTTATTCCATCTTCATGCACATGCATATACATATTCACTACTTTAAAAAGCTGGTATGTGAAAGTCAGAGGATATTTACATTTGATCTAAAGAAGGATTTTTGTTGGAGATTACTTTTAAATCACAATGATACTTATATTTTCATTAAGATGTTTGATCAAACCACTTCTGCAGCTACTGGTTAACCCAGGTATTATATAATTATGATTTAATTTGTTTACTTTTTCATTTACTCATGACGGAGAACCAAAAGAGCAAACTTAAACAGCTTAAGAAAGAAAAAACACGAGCGTTAGAAATATATTACTCTGGAGAGTTTGTCTAGAACACATCCGGATGGCGGCGTTTCACAACCTTATGAACTTAAATCTATATTTACAAATGTTTTTTTCTATATGCTGATGACTGTTCACTGACAGTGACATAATTTAAAAAAAAATTATATATAACATAATATTAGATGATATTTGAGCCCAACAGTGTTCAGTCAGGTCATCTGGATGCTTCTTTTTTTTTGTGCTGAGATGTTTCGCTCTCTATCCGGAAGGCTTCATCAGTCTGAGGAAACACCAAATAACACTGCTTCTCCCCCAACAGCTTACTCCAAAGTGGAAAAAAACTAGTTATGTTGGCGCTAAGATGGCCTCTAGGGCACGCCTTCTCCTCCGGTGTCCACCCTCTCCCTCGTTGACAGTCATGTCAAACTGGTTCAAAACACCAAAGTCCATGCTCAATGAAATAATAATATTTGAGCATTAAAACATTTTGTGTGTGTGTGTATTTCTAGCTCTATGCTGCTGTTTTCTCAGTCCCTCAAGAATTCACCTTACCACCAATGAAAACCAACTCTTCTAGAAAAGGTGGAAGGAGCACTGGATAAAATCTACAAGTACAGTACCTGCATGTGACATTTCACTCTGTTCCATTCTCGTGACTGATGGTCTGACTATAACTCTTATTCTGGACAAGCTGGACTAACTCAAAGTCACTCCTGCTGTTGTTCTAATGAGAAGTAGGAAGTTTAGTTACTATCCCAGAGAAGGGTCAGAGAACAGGGTCATGGTTTGACGTTGCATAAGACTAAAAATTAGTAAAGTGCCTAATTTTGTAATTATCAGGGTCTTAGTTTTGGGCAGATTTTCCAGCTCTACTGTTCTGTGTACACAATAGAAGGGACCATGGAGATCAGAATCATTTTGCTCTCGAGACTCAAAAGAATGGCCACATTTTTCCTGATTAATGGCAATCACACCCTTGCTGTATGAATAAGTAATGTCAACTCTTTGGTGAGTAGATGTCCTGACCTCTTTGAGTTGATGTGTGAAGCACGACAAATCATTTTACAGGCGAGTCTGAAGGGAGATGGTTGAAAACAAACACTTCCAAGTCTATCATACTGGCTTTGGCCCTCAGCCAAAAAATGTAAACTACACACGCTAGGTAGGTAATAGGATAAAAAAACTTTGGTCTGTAACATTTTCCATGCAATTTCATGCCAGTCTTGAGATACTGTCCTCCTGCCTTGGTGTGCAGTAATTAAATCACTGAGTTGTGACTGTTGGTGACTAGAGGGCAACTCAAAGCTACGATTGAGCATGAACTTTGTTAACTTAAAGTTATGGCTCATGGGAATGACTAGAGGCAGCATGCAAAAACAGCTTGTTTTTGTGAACATATTGCTGAAGAGTGTGTGATTATGTTTTCCATCCACCTACCTGTGCAGAGCTGTTGTGCAAATTTTCTTGTGAGGTTGAGAGAAACTCCTCTGAAGTTGGTGTTCCTCAGCAGATCGTACAGGTTGTAGCTCAACAACTCAAACACCAAACAGAGGTGGTTCCTAAACATAAAGTGACGCTTCAGGTGGACTGCACAGAGACAAATTGACAGACAGACACAAAAATAGATGGAAGACAAGAATGATGGTTAAGAGATACACAAAAGCAAGAGTCATGCCAGGCAATATTATAATACATTACAATCGTTCCAGAGCCCTTGTTACAATCTTTGATAGTTAGGTGTCAAACAAAATTACAAAATAAATAATTAAATAAATAAACTCTAAGTGTCTTAAAATAAAAGTAATTCATCGTGAATTTTAATAATTCTCATTAATATTTGAGCAGAACTGGTTATAATAATTAGTTTAAATAGTTTACTGGGGTTGAACAAAACCAGGAAGAAGTACAAAGCAGCTCATAAGCTGTTGATTTATAGCTGAAACAATATATCATATATCCCAAATAAAAGATTTACAAAAAATATTTGATTTATTACATAATTTAATCTATGTGACATAAGTGGTCATCACATTTAAAAAAACAACAACTATTATTTCTGTGGCACCACATCCTCAGATTATATTATGTGCAATGGGAATGAGAAGAAAAAAGGAGAACACTGGTTAAAAAAATGAGAAATTCAAAAAGTTTGTAACTAGCTCAAAGCACAAACACTTGACAGTGATAAAATGAAAACAAAATATATAAAATAAAATCTGATAAATCAGAGTTACAGTATTTAACTAAAATATTTAACTAGAGAGAAGACCTAAAAGCTGAAACTTGAGGCCACCATAGTTGATTGCCTCCTAGTGGCTGGCTGCAATACTATTATTAAATCTTTACTACTTTTATTAAAGTCTTCAAGAAAAGCTCATTTGGTCAGTCAAATTTTCCTTTCCTGGGACATATCATCTTTTAGGAGGGCTTACACCCCAGTCCAGTTTATTGTACGACATCGAGTACGTGTACGCGGTCATAAAAATTGATCTTTGCACGGACATGCCCTGTGGGCGTGTGCTTCGAGTCTAATCCGGTACGCACGGACCTCCGCGGACTGAGGTCCACCTGACTATGTGGGAGCCTTAAGAAGAGAGAAGGACTTGTATCAACAGACAAGACAAATGGATCTGGTTGGAAAGGATGTGCAGAAAATAATGTTAAAAATAGAACAAGCAGAGTGTGATGGGAAGCTGGAAGGAAAACTTTTTCTACAGAAATTCGCCAATCAAATTTAATGCTCTTAAATAACATTTAAATGCCTTTTCATAGATTTTAATCTAAAAAATTAATGCATAAATTGTATACATTTTTTAACAAGGCATTTTAAAATCCCTCTTGTGTAAGTCCCAAGACAGGATTAATGGTGAGCTTATTTTCAGGAATGACATCTAACATAAAATACTTTTGCCAAAACAAACGTAAGAGTTTGACTAAATGACACCATACCGGATTGGGGTCAACAAGGACCACCACTGGTGCTGTTGACAAACAGGGTGCCTCAAAAAACTGTGCTACCTTTAGTCAAAGATCACGAGGACAGAAAAGTGCCAGGACACAGGGAGAAGAAGACGGTAAATGCATAAACTATTACGTAATTTTTTTGTTTTGTTTTACAGAGGAAGATTAAGTCATGTGTCTTAGATTGCAAGCTTTCTTTTCAATTCAAATTTATTTAGGCAAGCATCACAGAACCAAGAGGCGCAGAGTTTAACTCATTTGTGTTGATGTGGAGCACTACATTGTACACAGACACACACCAGAGTGATCATGGGCCTCTTGGCTGCATCTCTGATCAGTCTTCTCTTTGTTCGAGATGAAAGTTTAGAGGGACGGCCGGGTCTTGGTAGATTTGCAGTGGTCTGATACTCCTTCCATTTCAATATGATTGCTTGCACAGTGCTCCTTGGGATGTTTAAAGCTTGGGAAATCTTTTTGTATCCAAATCCGGCTTTAAACTTCTCCACAACAGTATCTCAGACCTGCCTGGTGTGTTCCTTGGTCTTCATGATTCTCTCTGCGCTTTGAACAGAACCCTGAGACTATCACAGAGCAGGTGCATTTATACGGAGACTTGATTACACACAGGTGGATTCTATTTATCATCATCAGTCATTTGGGACAACATTGGGTCATTCATAGATCCTCTCTGAACTTCTGGAGTGAGTTTGCTGCACTGAAAGTAAAGGGGCCAAATAATATTGCACGCCCCACTTTTCAGATTTTTATTGTTAAAAAAGTTTGACACATCCAATAAATTTCATTCCACTTCATGATTGTGTCCCACTTGTTGTTGATTCTTCACAAAAAATTAAAATTTTATATATTTATGTTTGAAGCCTGAAATGTGGCAAAAGGTTGAAAAGTTCAAGGGGGCCGAATACTTTTGCAAGGCACTGTAGGATGTTGACATATGCCTCTTTGTGGACGTGATTAATATTTGCTTTTGGACTTTATTATTGTGCAATGATGCATGTAAGATGTTTAACAACCTGTTCTCATAGTTAAAATGATTTTATATTTGTGTAAAAAGAAGAAGAAGCTCATGCTGTAAGTCACATGACAGCATCATCTGGCATCTGAATGCTATATTTTGCACTTACTTCTGGTCTAATAATTACTAGAACAATCAGCACTAGAGTAATCTGCACTGGTTGGATCAGTACTGTAACAATTATCTCAAAAAACAATCTACACTGGTCCAACCAGCACAGGAAAAATTTGCACTGGTTTGTTCTAGACTTGTCTGTTTAGCACAAGTCCAGTCAGCAGTGGAACAATCTGAAATTGTTAGATTGGCACTGTTCAGTTCAGCACTGGCCCATTCAGCCCTGGTCTAATTAGCAGTGATCAGCACAACCTGATAATCACTAACAAGTCCATTCAGTATTGGAGCAGTCAGCACAAGAACTATCAGCAAGGGTCAAATGATAACAGTAACAATCATTACTAGAACAATCAGCACTAGTCCAATCAGCACTGGTCCATACAGCCCTGGCCTACTCAGTACTGGTTTGATCAGCAGTGGAACAATCAGCACTGGAACAATTAGCACTAGTCCAAAAACATGCATGTTAAGGCTGCCTTCAGTCCCACACCTCCTATGCAAAAGAGACCTGTGATCTCAATGGGATTTGTCTGGTTAATAGGAAACAAAACAAATATAACTAGAACAATGGGCCCTGGTAAAATGAGCAGTGTAGCAATCAGCAGGTCTAGAACAAACAGCCCTGATCCAATTACTACTAGAACAATCAGCACTTATCCAACTAGCATTGGTCCATTCAACCCTGGTCTAAAAACCACTGGTCTGATCAGCATCGGTTTAGTTAGCACAGAAACAACCAACACCAGAGCAATTTGTACTTGTTCAATCATCACTAGTCCAATGAACATTGCTCCTTTGAGCCCTGGTCTAATCGTTACTGGTCCAATCAGCACTGTAATGATAAGCTCAAGAGCTTTCAGCACTGATCCAATTAGCCATGGAACAATCAACACTAGTTCTATCAGCACTGGTCTAATCAGCACTGGCCCATCATATCATGGTGAAGTGGCCCAGTCAACACTGGTCCAATCAACACTGGTCTATTTAGCTTTGGTCCAATCAGCATTGGTTGGATCAGCACCGGAACAGCAGGAGTTCATTGTTGGGTACTGTCCTGTTGATCATTTCAGTCATCAGTCATGTATGACTCAACTTGTAATTTCAAGTACTAAGGGTCCACTGTCCAGGAAAATGAGGAATGTGGTAAAGAGGTGAAAAAGAGAGTTCAGGCAGGATGAAGTGGATAGAGAAAGGTCTCAGAAGTGATGTGCAACAAAGGTCAAAAGGAAAGTTTACAAGGCAGTTGTGAGACCAGCTATGTTGTATGGTCTGGAGACAGTGGCATTGACAAAAAGTCAGGAGAAAGAACTGGAAGTGTCAGAAATTAAGATGTTGAGGTTCTCCTTAGGAGTGACAAGGATGGATAAGATTAGCAATGAGATCATCAGAGGTGCAGCACAGGTTGAACAACTAGGAGATAAAATTAGAAAGTCCAGACTGAGATGGTTTGGACATGTCCAGAGGAGGGACAGTGGGTATACTGGTAGAAGGATGTTAGAAATGCAGCTGTCAGGAAAAAGACAAAGAGGAGATATATGGAAGCAGTTAGAGAGGACATGGAGGTAGTTGGAGTGAGGACAGAGGATGCAGAGGTCAGAGTGAGATGGAGGAGGATGACTCGCTGCGGCGACCCCTGAAGAGGGAAAAGCCAAAAGAAGAACTTGTGTAATGAATGGTACTCATTGCACAGAGCTAAATTCTCTGATGCTCTTTTCAACTAAATTCATAAACAATGTTTCAGTTATGTTTATTAACAGTAACGTCTTTTAAAATTAGTAGTATGTGCTTATAACCACTGCTTGAAAACATATAAACAGCATATAAAACTTCAGGCAGATCAGGAATGCCTCTCAACAGTTGATATTAACAAACAAACATGTTTTTTAAATATACTGGTAAAATTAGTATAAAACACTGGGAGTTATTTGACTGACTGCCAGCCTGTACAACAATCCGTTGCAGAAATCCTGGATAAACAGAGTAAGTTAGTGCAACAGTTTTTACAAACAGCACTTTCTATATACAGCTGTTTAATCACACCATTCACCAGCCCAACTTACTGTTCTGTGCATGTATCTTCATCTTACCTATGTAATATTTCATCTCGGTGTCATGCTTGTTCATGAGCTCCAGCAGGCGTAGTTCAATCTGGGCCTGGTTTAGAAATGCCTTTTTATTTTTTATGATCTTAATGGCAACCCATTCCTGTTCGTGGTGGTCATAGGCCTTTACCACCTGTAGACAGACAAAAACACACTTTATGACTTAAGTGATAAAAAAAATTATGTGAAAAGCAAACCTAGTAAGACAGTACATGTGCTCAGTGTGAGTTCCTGAGGCTAAGAAGTGATCGATCACCTGAGGAGAGGAAGACTTAAAATAAGTTCTTCTGAACCATAATTATAGACTTTTTGATCAGTTGGTCCCTCAACTCAATTTACAACATTTCTTCGAAGAGAAGAGGCTTTAGGCGAGCCGATTTGCCCTGTTGGCACGCACGCAGCTGGATATCTCATCGACTTGGAAGACTTGATGATGTGTCTATCTCTGCTGCCATTTGTGGATTTTAAGGACACATATTTAATTGGATTTTCGATAACTGGTTCCTGCTTTTTGGATTCGGCTGGTTGCTGGTTTTATCAATCGACAAGGAAGTCGTCGGCAGCAAATTTGGACCCAATCACGCTGCTTGCCTTTATGATGGCTTGGTTCGTGTCTCGAGTACCCAGACTCAAATGCTTTGGGCAGAATGAATCAGATCTTGGGGATTTTATTCAGTCACGTTCCATCGGCGTGGCCATGTATTTTGGACATTTCGGAACCGAGTGGACCAACACAGACTCAAGGTAGATGTCATTAAGTTCTGCCTGTCCCTAAAACAACTGTGTGTTTATCTGAATTTGGCTCCCTTGGCTGGCCTTGAAGGCCATCTTACCTGAATTCGCCTGGAGAACATGTGATCTGATGCTCACCAGCCCCTCCCTGAGGAATTTCCAACTGATAACCAGATGAAACCAGCTGAATAAACTTTGTGTCATCATTTCAGGACTCTAGATTCTCATCGACGTTATTCTTGGCCATTCCTCGACATACCCCGAGAATATTTATGGATATCACCGGAGGACATTGGCTGATTATTCCATCCTGATCAGAACTCTCTGACCTCGAGAGCATCTATGAACATGCTCACCGCTCTCGGCTCCCTTCCTCTGCATAATGTCTAAGTCACTATGTGCTTGTTTGTGCGAGGTGTTTTTTTTAAATATTTGAGGTTTTTTTTCTCAGGCAGGAAAAAAAAGTCTGATAGGAATTTTTTTCGCCTCCAACTCCCACATGTGTCCATTTTACCACTTTTTTGTCTGTCCAAACAGGTCTCACTTTCTAAATGAGTCTTTGAGGCTCAATGTGATTTATCTGTTTAAATAAAGGTTGAATGAAAAAAAGTTAATCTCTGTAGATACAGCAGAACAACAACATGTAGCAGCACAGACATTGAGAACTTGCCATCTCACTTCGTGTTCAGCTGAATGAAAGCTGTAATTTTAAATTACATCTCTCTTAATAAATCAGGCCTGTGCAGATGGGAGCTTTACATGGGCCCATTGTCAAAAAATTTTTCTCTACTTTTTTATTGTGTGAATGCTTTTAAGCATCCACACAATAGTTGTCCTGTTTATATTTATTATTCCGACTTCTATCCCTATTTCGTACGTTTTTCAGCGCAATTCTCTTCCCGCAGTTTTTAAGCTATTTCAACAAACATATCAAGCATATTCAGCTTTTTCATGACAATCCTGATATGACTTTTGGTATTGATGCAACTTTAGCTTTTTGAAATATTTAGCCTTTTCTGCCATTTTGTTTTTCGTAGAAAATGAATTTAACTCATTTTACATCCTTCAAATCTTTAGATCTGTTTAAAACCTTTTACTGCTCCTTTCACATTTTGTTCCAGTTCAGCTTCTTTCAGCTCCATTGTGGAAATATAATCATTTTTTCAGCTACTTTCAGCTAATTTAAGCAGGTTTTTTTTTTCCAGCTGTTTTGCACTCCTTTCAGATTCTTTCTGCTAACTACAACATTTTTGTGCTTCTTCTAACTTATTTCTGCTAATTTCAGCTTGTTATAATCCTTTCAACTTATTTCTGCAAGTTTCAATTTTTTCAGCTACTATTTAGCTGTTTTAAACAAATTTTAGTCTTTTCAGATAATTCCACATTTATTGCACTCATTTAAATTTTTTCAGGCTAATTCAGCATAAATGTGCTCTCTCCATTTCCTACTGGTAATTTAAGCTTATTTCTGCTTTTGTAGCTACTATTCAGCTGTTTTTTGGTGTGCTCTAATTTCAGCTTTTTTCAGACAATTTCCACTTCTTTGTGCTTCTTTAATTCTAATTGGGGAAACGTGTTCTTTCTACTTTCTTCTTTTTAAGCTTGTTCTACCTTTTCAGCTGTCTTCTTAGCATTTTTTAAGCTAATTTCAGCTGTTTTTTGATAAATTCAAGTTTTTTTGTGCAATTTTCAGCTACTTTCAGCTAATTCCACATTTTTGGAGCTCATTTCAGCTCTTTCCACTTCTTTCTAGTAGTTTAAACTTCTTTTGGCCTGTTAAGCTACTTTTCAGCAATTTTTAGCTAATTTCAGCCTTTTTGTTAGCTACCGTAATTTTCTCATTTTTGTGCTTATTTCTTCTAATTTAAACCTACTTTTGCAAAATTGTGTTGCTTCTACTTTCTTCTGCTAATTAAGGCTTGTTCTTCCATTTCAGCTACATTTCAGCATTTTTTAACTAATTTCAGCTGTTTTTCAGCAAGTTCTTATGCAATAAGCATTCACACTGCAATTTTGCAGGAAATGCAATTTCTCTACTTATTATTTAAAGGTATGAGAAAGGTGTGATCTGATATTGAGACTTAGACATAACCCTGAAATTCCATGTTTAAACTGAGCTTGTTCTCAGTGCGGGTTGTATTCTGCATGTCCCTTGTCTCCAATCCGGTTTGTGGTATTCCTGGACAGGATCTCAAGGTGCAGTCGGGAAGAGGAGGGTGTCTGGTTTAGGAACCGCACAGTCGCTTCTCTACTTTATGTAGATGATGTGGTTCTGTTAGACCAAGACCTTCAGCGTGCACTGGGGTGTTTCACAGCTGACTGTGAAGAGGCTGGAATGAGAGTCAGTTCTTTTAAGTCTGAGGCCATGGCTCTCAACCAGAAATGGGTGGAATGCCTCCTCTGGGTCGGGAACTTTGCCTCAGATGAAGGGGTTCATGTATCTGGGTGTCTTGTATCTAGTGATGGTCGGATGAAGCGGGACATGGATCGACGGATTGGGGCCTCGTTCTCAGTAATGAGGGCGTTGATTCGGTCAGTCATGATAAAGAAAGAGCAGAGTCGAAAAGCAAAGCTGTCAATTTACTGGTCTGTCTACGTTTCGACACTCACCTATGGTCATGAGGTTTGGATCATGACCAAAAAACGAGATCCTGGATACAAGAGGCTGAAATGGGTTTTCCTTTGCAGGGTGGATAGGTTCAGCCTTAGTGATAGGGTGAAGAGCTCTGTCATCCAGAGGGAGCTTGGAGTAGAACTGCTGCTTCTCTGCATCGAAAGGAGTCAGTTAAGGTGGTATGATCTGATTATGATGCCTCCCTTTAGAAGTTTCCAGGGCACGTCCCACTGGTAGGAGGCTCCGGGGAAGACCCAGAAGTCACTAGAGGAATTGTGCATCTTCTCTGGCCTGGAAACGCCTCAGGGTTCCCCAGGACAAGCTGGAAAGTGTAGCTGGGGAGAGGGCGGTCTGAGTTTCTGTCCTGGACCTGTTGCCTCTGCGACCTGACTACGGGTAAGCGGTAGAAGATGGTGATGGAAATTTAGCTTAAATTTAATTTGCATTACTTAAGAAGTTCATGGTTTATTTTATATTACTGTACTTGGAGGAGCTGGCCTGTTAAGATCTGTTTCAAAGTAATGCATTTGTTAAAAACTTTTCCTCATTAGGAACTTTCACAAAACCCTTCTAACTGGGCCTTCAACACCTTCTGGCTGCCTTGGTGCTAATTCTGAATGGACTGGGGTGACAGGAAATTACGGCCAGCCTATTACTGTTCACTATTGTTCTACCAAGCTAAGCATTAAAAGTTGTGAAAGTCAACTTGAAAAGGTAAGCTGACTGTGTGGTTCAAGTATAAGATAAGATTTAGTGATGACATTGAATCTGTGCAACCACCTAACAGTGGAATTTAAAAGTCTAAACAAGAACAGATTATTTACAGAGAAAAATATTGATGTTGATTTAGATTTTACTAATAAATAACATAGTTAATCAAAAAGAGAACAGTTAAATTACTGTAGGTTTATTATTTGTTTTTTGTAAATGATATGAGTGAGAAGTTCATTATGACTTTAATGTGGAATGTTCCAAGTCAACACAGCTGAGCTCTGTTCCACAAAGGCCTCTTCATTTCTGAAAGCTCAGCTTTGAGAAAAATGTGGTTGATTAGTGATTTATGAATGTCAGACAGACTGGTCATTTTGCAGAATTGTTTTGTAAAAGTGCCTTTGTAAAGACAGGAGAGCTCTAAGGCTGCTATCCAACAAATGTTCATGAAGTCTTTACATTCTTACTCACATTCATTTATTTTAATTTATTGAGTTAAATGTTGATGTTCAAATTTTTGCCATTTTCCTTTCGCCCTAGTATTCTGTGAGGAAAATTACTTATGAATACATGAAAAAGAGGAAACTCAGTTTTCATACAAAGTTTCCTTCTCACCTGTCCAAAAGAGCCCTTTCCGATCAGTGAATCTATTTCATAGCGGTCCAGCCACTTTTCTCCATTTTTCACAATGTAATCATAGTTGTCATCATCATAGCCGTCATTGTAAACTTTTTTCTCCTTCTTCGTGCTGCTATCTTCAGGAGGGACCTGCTGGGCCCGCCTTTTCTTCTTGGTATAGTACACCTAGGAGTAAAAGCAGTAATTAAATACCCAGCTATGCATCATTGGGTTGGGTTAAATAACAACGAGTCATATACAGTACACTGAGGTAGATTTTTATTATTTTGTACTAGTATGAGATATACTAAGCTCATGGCCATTGCAGGTAGACTAAGCCATTTGAGAGTTTTTACCTTAAATGAAAATTAATCTTAAAATATGTTTGTTTTATTTCTCTGAACTACCTCATCTGAAGCTTCAGACAATGTGCCACATGGTCTGGCAAACCAGTTTTTAATAAAATTGGTATAGGTTATTCTTTAAAGAATAGCCTCTTAATATTTCTTAATGTCAATATCATGTTAGCTTAAGCAGATATTGTTTGCATTTACTGAATTTATCTGCACAGATTTTATTGTCTTGTAAAACATCTTCACTGGGCCAAAATCAGCAAAGGGCCACATCATAAGACTACTTTCCAGGACAAATTTTTTTGTGTGCTTATTTTTTTAATCAAATAAATTTACTGAAAGACGCATTTAAAGTTTAAAACTAACAGAAAGGAGGAAAGTGTTATCTTAAAACCCAACCTAACAGAGCTGATATTGTTCCGATTCTTAACTCATTCCAAGGAAAAAGATACAAAATGTGACAAGACAACATCCTCTCAGGAAATGGACTCAAGTTGTGTGTGTATTTTCTCTCACTACATACCTCATTGATGTGCTTATAAGTTTTGATAAGGTCAACTGAGAGTTTCCTCAATGGAGCACTAGCAGGGTCTCTGAAACTGGGGGGAATCCTTCGTTGGAGTATGGTCATATCGGACAGCACCTAAAACAAATCATACCAGTCCTAAATTAATAACTTGTGCTCAGTCATGAACAACAAACATGAATCAGCTGTAGCTCAACTCAGAGTGCCTTAGCCAGTGAGCTTGAATATAACTTGTTTGACTCAGGTGCAATAATTAATATGGAGACAGTGGTAGCTTGTGGTTGTTAGACTCAAGATAAGAGAAGAGCTAAGAAGTCAGTAATCCCATGTTTAGGCCTGTTCCCATGTTAGATTCCAGTGTTTGAGTTCCATATTTAATCCAACTGTTTGACTTGATATTTAATCCTTGCTTGAAGCCATTTTAATTCCAACCTGTGTTCAAATTCCATGTCTCATCTTGTTTTTGTATCCAAATGTTTGATCCCATGTTTAATTTCGTGTTCAAATCCTGTTTGAACCAAAGTTTGAATTGAATTGAAAATGACAGAATTCAATCTTTGTTTACAGAAACTTTTTTTTAAAGTAGACATGTCAACATTAATAAACAGGAGGATTTTGTTAGAAATGGATCTTCTCTTGCTTATTCAAATTTTCATATTCCAAGAACAATAGGTTGAGTTGGACAAGTAGCTGCTATTTTTCAGTCAGAATTTTCATTAATCCAAAACCGATACTAGTTATAATTATTTTGAGTCCTTGACCCATCCAGTCATCCATCCATCATCTTTACCCACTTCTTCTTTTTCGGGTTGCGGGGGTCACTGGTGCCCATGTCCAGCAGTCACTGTTTGAGAGGCGGTGACACCCTGGACAGGTCTCCAGTCCATCACAAAGCCACATAGAGACAAACAAGACAAACAAGCATTCACTCTCTCACTCACACCTAGGGACAATTTAGAGTTACCAGTTAGCATAATGCATGTTTTTGGTCTGTGGAAGAAAATGGAGCACTTAGAGAAAACCCACGTATGCATGGAGATAACTTGCAAACTCCACCCAGGAAGGTATCTGGCTGGGATTCAATCCAGCGACCTTCTTGCTGAGAGGCAACAGCTCTACCAACTGAGCCACCTTGCTGCCTTTAATCTAAAATGGAAATTCTAAATAAATAAATAGCCTAAAAATGTGCAAAAATAAAAAAAAGTCTAGTTTGGTTTGTGCTTCTCATGTTCTACTTCTAACAGATGCCCAAAAGAAAATGTAATTGATAATGAAACTCAGAAAGTTTTTTTTTTTTTATCAAGTCATACATGTATACTTGATGTTTTGTCTATAAAACCCGAGATCCTGGGCAGACAAAAACACCTCATATACAGTATATGCAACAAAAGAGACAGAGTTTTGGATCAAATAGAATTGAACAGACTACAGTTTTCCTTCACATGGACAAGAAGACAACTTTACTTTATACTTTTTTCTTTCTTTCCTTACAATGATTTTTAGTTTTATTTACAAAATTAATATGCTGGTGGTCATGGTCAGTGTTGGTAATTCCTGCTGATGACCTCACAAAGCCTTTATTTTTTACAATGTTTTTTATAGACTCTAAACCGGGAGTAAAAGCATCTTTTCAAATCTGTTAAAAATGTGTTGATCTGTTTTTTGTATGAATTCATACAAAAAACCCCGAAACATGTCCAATAATCACTTGAGGTTTGTTTCATTTACTCTTCTTAATTAGAAGAATTAGTGTCGCCTTGACTGGGCTGTGTAAAAAGTCTTTATTTGTGGTGCTGAACCAATATCAATATTTTAATTTCTACATCCCGTTGTAGTAATAGAACAGATACTAAAGGTGACCTCCACCCAACAGAGGCATGCGTGTTACCTGCTGCTGATCGGCCATGGACTGGATGGAGCTGAAGGAGGGGTGTGTATGCGTGTGCTGGCTGGTCATGGCTGGCTCAGCGAGGGAGAAGCCCTGGGCAGTGGAGGAGGAGGAGGAGGAGGAGGAGGTGGAGGAGAAGGAGGAGGAGGTGGGTGGACATCCTGAGCTGCTTACACCTGTAGAAATAAAGAAAAGCCCAAACATTAGGTTTCTTTGCTCCAAGTCCATAACATCAATATCACTCTCCTCTTCATGTTAACTATAAATATTGCCACCAGACTGCTTGGACATTATTTACTGTGGTCTTTGGGTGGTCCCAAGGACCACAGTCAAGGTGGTCGTGGTGGAGGTTGAGTAATTATCTTTAAATCAAGCTTTGACTGTAAACCGATACCATTCCAGTCTCTTTTACTGCATTGGTTCCCAACCGTAGTCCTTGAGGAACACCATCCTTAGGTTGTTTTCCTGCTTCGACACACCTGGTTTGAATGAATGGGTGATTAACATTCTTCTGCAGAACTTGAGGATGTAATTAAATCACTGAATCAGGAGCAAGGAAACAACTAAACCATGCAGGGTAGTGTTCCACAAGGACCAGGGTTGGGAACCATTGTTTTACTGGGCCTTTTTTGATCTAGGTAACTCTTGTGCTCTACTGTGCACACTATGGTTTACCATCTTCCAAAGTATAACAAATACTTTTTAAAGTGATTTTTCTGGTGTCTTGGCTGAATTACCAAGATATGATCAAGTTTTAATTAATGAAGATATTAATATTCAAGGTTGTTGTGTTAAGAAACATTTAATACACACTGCCTGGCCCCCCCAAAACGTCGCCACCTGGATTTAACTAAGCAAATAAGTACGAGCCTCCTATTGGATAATTACTGCACGGGCGATTACGGTATCTTTCAGCTGGGAACAAGTTAACCCTTGCTGGTGCAATGAGTTGCTTCTCATTTCTTAAACAACCATGTCGAAAGACACATCACGTGGTCGTGGAAAAGATGTCAGTCTGTTTGAGAAGGGTCAAATCATTGGCATCAAGCAGAGAAAACATCTAAGGAGATTGCAGAACTACTAAAATTGGGTTAAGAACTGTCCCAACGCATTATTAAAAACTGGAAGAATAATGGGGACCCATCGTCTTCGGGGAAGAAATGTGGCTGGAAAAAATCCTGAATGATCGTGATCGGCGATCATTTAAACATTTGGTGAAATCAAATGGAAGAAAAACAACAGTAGCACTCAGGGCTATGTTTAATAGTGAAAGTAAGAGCATTTCCACATGCACAATGCAAAGGGAACTCAAGGGATTGAGACTGAACAGCTGTGTAGCCTTAAGAAAACCACTAATCAGTGAGGCTAAATGGGAAAAAAAGCTTCAATTTGCTAGGGAGCATAAAGATTGGACTCTGGAGCAATGGAAGAAGGTCATGTGGTCTGATGAGTCCAGATTTACCCTTTTCCAGAGTGATGGGTGCATCAGGATAAGAAGAGAGGCAGGTGAAGTGATGCACCCATCATGCCTAGTGTCTAGTCATCAATGCAAGATCTTGGTGAAAAATTAATGCAACACTGGATGGAAATAGATCTTGTGACACTACAGATGATTAATGAAACAACGCCACAGCGAATGCATGCTGTAATCAAAGCTAAAGGAGGGCCAACAAAATATTTTTGGGTGGGGACTTTTTTTTGGCCAGGCAGTGTAGGACTATTTAGATTTGGTAGACATCATTTAATTCAGTCTGTCAATGGTCCCACTAAGGAATGTGGACACACATTGGATCTGGGTTTTATCTGAGGTTCATCTGTTCTTAATCTGGAATTTGATGATGTCTTGTATTTAAACCATATGTCTGTATCATTCCACTTTGTTCCTTTCTGTCAACTCTCTAAATTGTGCACTTTTGCAGTGCTGCCATGCTATTCATCACTCCACTGACACTAGTTTTGATGAGACTTTTTTTTTTTTTACTATGAATGGTTTAAGCAACCCTTAATGTCTCCACCCCTGAGGAACCAACTTTTCAGTTTCATTTAGTTTGTCTGAATATTTTGGACTGTGTGGTTTCAATAAAAATCAGATATCCAAAGCCCAGATCAGAACAATGGTCAAATAATGACACCAGCGCTATAAGATGGGAGTGCAAAAGGGTAAAAGGAGGTGGATAAAGGGGAGGTTGCAGGTTTCTTTGGGAAAGCTGAGAGTGTGTTGACATTGTTATCAGAAAGCTGTAAAAACTGCTAGATCAAAGTTTTTCTCTTACATCACCGTCTCAAACTCTCACAACACCTGAGTTCTTGTTGCTACCAGCAGAAATCCCTACATTGATCTTTCTTCCCTTGCCACTTATAAAAGAAACATTATCACAATTCTGGGAGTGAAAATAGAATATTTCCTAAAACTAAGCAGTCATGCAAATGCAAAAGTAAAATTCTTCGTTCAGCGGAGGCAGCTTTTAAAACAACCCATTTTGTTAAAAAGAAATTTTGCGAAAGTAATACATGCTTTGCCAAGTTAAGTTACTATATTGATGGTTGCTATGGAGGTTGCGTGTCCACTCCAGATGCAGCAACTAAGTATTTTTTATCAATTAGCAGCTACGTTTTAAACAGAGTTCCTTTGTAGCATACAATGACAATGAAGCTAATTTTTAATTGCATTTATTACATCACAGCTTGATTACTGCACATCTTTTTGGAATTAGTCACTTTTATTACTTGTTCAAATGTTTACTATTCAAATTTTAACTAGTTCAGAAAAAAAAAAAACACGTTTCCCTTGTTATAGCTTTCCATCACTGTTTTCTAGTCTACTTATGAATTTATTTTTTTTTAAATTGCAATTTTTTAAAAGTTTTTACAATTCCGACTTTGGTCAGCCTTGTTCCTGATTTTTTTAAGTGCTTTTATAAGTAAAGTGGAATGGTAAATATTATAAACGACATATATCCAGTTAGACATCAGGACATTTATAGAAGGCTTTATTTTCTACATGGTAATGTGAGGGGGGTTACATTCTTAGAGCGCTCACTGTGAGGACTCCTAGTGTTTGGCTCCCTCTTGTGGTCTGTCCTCCTCTGTCTTGTAATCAGCCCCTTCCTGTGTCACCTGTCACCCTCCCCAGGTGTTTGTGTTGGTCGTTAGTGTCTGTAAATAAGTCTGCGTCTCTTCATTCCTCATTGTCTCTAAACTGCAAAGCCTCATGTTCCTGTTCCCTCTTCTGCATGGTGTCCTGTCTCTGCCTCCCTTCGTGTCTCTCCCAACATCTTGTAAGTTATTTATGCCTTGTCAGCCCTTTGGTTTATTAATAATAAATAACTTTTTGCTTTAAACCTGAATCCTCCGAGTCCTGCCTGCATTGTGGGTTCAACCAAAAACAGCAGAATTACAACATTCACAAATTGTGAAATATTTATTATGAAAATTTTGGATGTGGTCAAAAAAAGCACCAAATTGTTTACTGCACATACCACAGAATTTGTTTTAGGTTTCTGGTGCTACACTATTTTAAAAGTTCACATTCTCAAAAGTATTTATATGCCCGCTCCACACACAAGATCTGGTAGGAGTGTTGGATGCACGCTCTGCTTCTGTGCCTGGAGGATTGTACACATGGACCAAGATGAATGAAGTGAGCTCACAGGAAGAGTAAAGGGGGTTATAGGTCGGAGACTAGTATTACAGGATCACCGTCACATTAGTACACCAGCCATCATTGATGTAAAAACAAATGTCTCTACCTTTCACTTTGCCAGACAGCTCCATGATGTGGTTCGCTTTGAGGAGCTGGAAGCAACGTTTCCATGAAGTACAAAAGACGGAGACTTTGTATCTTCGTCTTTGTTTTGTGCTTCATGGAGATGTGGCTGTGTGAACCAGTACCAGACTCTACGCTGCAGCAACCAGCTCAGAGCGGATCGGATCATGAAGCTGTCCAGCAAATATTCCAGTTAGTGGTGGAAGCAGACCACACTGGTGATGATGATGAATCATCTGCAGTACGATGAAGTTCTGTAATGAAGGTAATGACAGCAGAGCAAAGTACAAGATTTACAGCTCTTTGGGTGGAAAAATTATACATTACCACAAAAACAAAAATTAAAAAAAGTAGAGTTGCAGGATATTTCTGTGAAATTGCAATGGTTTCAGTGATTAAATATTAGTTTGGATCTGAAGAAAAATCTGCAAAATGACTGAGTTGGCAAACTTTTATAAAGACTCTGTGGGGGTTCCCTTTAAGTGAAAAAAAACATCCTTTGAAGAACTGTCTTTGAGAAATTTTTTGAAGAAAATGCAAGATTTTGTACAGTTGTTGCTACGACATCCATTTCAAATGTTCTGAATGCCAAACCAGCCCTGATTAAATAAAGAATATTGAGGTTATTTAACCCCTGGGATGTCCTTTACCTTTAGAACAGCTATCAATCCCTTGGGGGGAAAAAAAAGAATCATACATTATACTTTACTTAAATACTATATATATATATATATTTTTTTTTTTTTTTTTTTTTTTTTCTCCCCACAAAAAACTACCGGTAGTTAAGTCTTTTAGAGCTATTTCAGCCTGAAATAGAAACACCACCAAAAATAAATAGAAACACAGACAAAAATAAATGCATGATTGAATTTCAAGAATGATGATGATGATCAACACAAAAATGAATCTATACACAAATCTATTACAGGTCCCTCTTGTAAATGAGTCCCCGTGGCACAACGAGGCTAGCCTATATAAATAAAAGTTGAATGAAAAAAAAAAAAGAATCAGAAAGTAACTGGTACATTTTCATCTTTAAATCACTCCGTGTTCTGTTGTTGTCTTCTTACATCTCCTCCTATGCCACCCTGTGAGTGCAGCTACAGCGTGCGCTCTCTGGACATTATTACCTGCAGTGTTCCATCAGTGTGGACTGAACTAGGCAAAAGGGTCTTCTCCTACTCTGCTCCTGTTTCCTGGAATATCTTGCCAAAAGACCTGAAGCTCTCAACCTTGACCTCTCAAAGGGATTTTAAACAACTGTTAAGTTCATGGCAAAAACCAATGCAGACATGTTCCTGTTTTCAGTATTTTGCATAGATTTATAATGTAGCTGCTTTCTTGTTTTGTTTTTATATCATTTCTTCTAGTTACTTTTCATTTTCTATGCTTTTTATATGATTGCTGATT